TAGACGGTCGTTAGACTGCAATTTGATAACTTCGAAGAACTGCGACCTCTAGCGACTCAACTATAACACTAACTGCATTAAGGATATAGGAAACCAAACAAATGAGGCATTTTGCGAAGGATTGGGTTACGAACTTTGAGGGATCTATTTACGTATCTGAAACGGTTGCTAATATTTTTAATGGTGGGAAAATGAGTTCTTTGAATTCTGTTATTATCATTTCTGTAGTATTAGTAATTTAAAATACAAAGTGTTTTTTGAAATTAAATATGATTTATCAGGTTTTACAGGCAAACATATTGATTAACAGTATTATTTTGTTGCCATCAACTATATCTGTTAAGTGGAATAAAAAAGCAGTGATAATATTTCAAATAATTTAGACTGTCACATATATTTTATTAGGAAACATATTGCACTAAAACAAACAGACTGCAAGCCACGATATAAGTGCATGGTTTGTTGGCTTACTTTATCTGCTTTTATTAAACTAAACATTGTTTGAGTTATATTAAACGGTGTAGGGTGTAGGTATTATTAGATCGAACTAAATATTAGGATTATAGTTAAAATTGTATTTTATCCATTTGTTTTTGATTTTTGGTACCTACATTATTTGCAATCTTGAAATTATAAGAAAGAATTACACTGACGATACATACTTTCATAATCTGGAAATCAGTAGACAGGGGGATTCCTTTCCCAATCACGTCCAACGTTGGTTCCAACGTTGTAATCAATATTTGGCACAGGTTTCGACAAAATAGCAATCCACAATTCCCCCACACGATGTGGCAAATGTTCATGTGTCCAACGTTGGAAGGTGTTAGAGTCTATTACGCTATGCTGTTCGGGTCGCTCTCAGGGTTCGGGTAAAGTGGGTGTGATTTGGAATGAAAAAAAAACAACGCTTTATTGTACAAAAAGCACAAAAACAAATATACAAATAATAAAAATAACCAACCAAACCAAATAAAAAACAAATATGCAAATAATAAAAAAAAAATCGCAATTCAAAAAAAATTACGTTATAAAATTACAAATAAAACATATATGGACATTGCAGAACACAGGCGTATCTAGAAAATTTTACAAAAGGAAATCTGTAAATGGATAAAATCATGTTATATATCATAAAATCAAGAGTTATAAAATATTAAATACTAGACCTTTAACCAGTGTGTGAGATGATCAAAATTTTAAAATTCAAAATTGTTCATGATTAAACATCAACAAAAAAGTCGTTTACCGCATATAGGGCCCTCTCCAGTAAGTATGATTTCAGAGCTTTGCGAAATGCGGGAAAAATGAGGGTGACTTGATATTCGAAGGCAAATGATTGTACATTTTCTTGGCATTGTACAGTATTAAGCCCTTAACTAGTTCTGAGCTCGGGGTTGGCAGATAAATATCGTGCTCCGCATTCCTAAGTGGATAGTTGTGAGAAGGCCTTTCCGGAATAGAGAATATGTGCTTGCGGATTAAGCAAACGGATTCAAAAATGAATAAGGAAGAAAGAGTCAGTATTTTGAAATTTTTAAAGAAATTCTGGCAGTGAGTTCTACGGTTTAGTCCCAATAAGTATCGAACTGCTCTCTTTTGAAGTTTGAAAATACGATCAAATTTTGTCGCGCAGCAAGTACCCCAGAATGGAAGGGCATAACGAAGATGCGATTCAAAAAGGGCATAATAAACCATTCTAGAGGTTGATGAGTTAAGTTCCTTAGAAACAGATCTTAGCGCAAAACAGGCAGAGCTTAGTTTCTTTGATAAGGCTTCGATGTGCAAGTTCCATTTTAACAAGTCCTAAGAATCTCACAGAGTCCACGACGTCAATAGTGGTGTTATTAAGTACAAAAGGTTGTATAGTACTTTTATATGACAAAACTTTAGTTTTTGAAAGGTTGAGGCATAGGAGATTAGAATCGCACCAAGATTTAATGGTGCGTAAGTCACTGGATATAGTATTATCTTTGGTATTATATAGTGCCGTAACATCTGGGCCGCTCCAAGTGAAACTAGTATCGTCCGCAAAGAGGCAGATTTTACCGCTAATGCCTAGATTTGCAATGTCGTTGATAAGCACCAGAAATAAAATAGGGCCAAGTACTGAACCCTGATGGACACCACATTCTATAGGCTTACAAGAAGATATAGACGTATCAATCCTCACAAGCTGCCTTCTGTTGCCAAGATACGACTTAAGCCATTCGAGCGGCATTCCCCTGAATCCATAGTATTGCAATTTGTTAATTAAGATATTATGATTTACACAGTCGAAAGCCTTAGAGAAATCACAGAAAATTGTAGCTGTAGAGTGATGGTTATTCACAGGCTAGAGTATACATTATTAAAAAGGTCGAACATAGCATTAGTTACTTAGAAATCCAAATTGATGGGTAGAAAGTACTTTATATTTAAGGAGAAAAGATAGAAGCCTTTTTTAACCAATCTTTCAATGATCTTAGATAATGTGGACAGGAGAGCAATTGGGCGATAGTTCGAAGCTTGATCTTTATCTCCTCCTTTATGCAGAGGAATAATTATTGCTGTCTTAAGGCAGTTTGGAAAAACTCCTTTTTGGAATGACTCATTAATTAAAGTAGTAAGATAGATTAATGTGCATTCTGGAAGTTCAGAGAACATTTTGAGAGTAAGCCCATCAGTCCCAGATGAGAATTTATTTTTAATACTTTTAATTGTACTACGGAGCTCATCTAATGCTACGGGCGTGAAGAAGAAACTGTGCTTCTTATCTCATTTGCTTTAGGGAGATATGAAAGTGAATCATGAGAAGGAGTTATGGTGTTCACTAAATTTTTAGCCACATTAACAAAGTAAGTGTTTAAATCTTCAGGTGAATTAAAGACTGTGCCAGACGAAGAAGTCTTATTCCTTAAGTCATTTACAATAGCCCAAGTCTCTTTAGCAACATTACCGGATTTGGCTAGCCTCCCATTATAATAAATGTCCTTGGCAGCTTTTATAGTCTTACGATAAACCCTTCTATAAAGTTTCACGTAATTATGAAAGAAAACGCTGTCTGTGAATTTTTTAAGGTGAGATAATGAGCGCATGTTCTTTGCAGATATACGCAAGCCTGTCGTAGACCAGGGTATACCTTGCTTACTTTTGATAGGCCTAATAGGCCGAAGGAAATATAATATTTCAGAAATCGGCCTAAGGCTTAAGGTACATTCAGGCTGAGAGCGTCAAGCGTCGCATCGCGTCTTCGTGTCGAAATGGAATCAATTCACTTAATTTAAATTAGACCGTTCAGGTTCGAGTTCAATGGGGCGGACGCGACGCGACGCTCGACGCTCTCAGCCTGAATGTACCTTTAGCCTGATCCTGTCGTGTTCAGTCACACCCAAAATTCCAAACACACATGCTTTGATTAAGACTTGAATAAATTTTGCAGAGTTTCAGCATTTGCCATAAAATAGCGAGCAATTTGTTACAAAACCATATAAATTATATATCACTGTAATCAGAAAAACTCAATCTATTTCCGTATTGTAACGGAATTTTAAATTATGTCTTTATTTTCGAGAAAATTTAGTCCAAACATAAGGAATATTTTGTTGATGTTTGACCACCAGAATCTTAAAAATAAAGAAGTTGTCTAAAAATGTGCTACAATACGGATGTAGTATAATCCTTTATCTTTAATTTCTTTCTTTATTTATGTAAAAATACCTAGCCAGTTTTACATAAAACGTTAAATGCCGAACGCTTATTTTGCTACTTTTTCGTACTAGTGAAATGGACTATACGAAAATGTCATCGATCGTAATTTCCCAGCCAAGCTGAAGCATTTATTTTCGGTATACGGTATTATTAATTTGATATAATGTTTTTTAAAAATATATTTTTTTCTGTTGCTTATTTTTGGTGTACCAAATGTACTGTAAATTTAATATTGAATAACAGAATACGATAAGAGAGTTTAATACTTTAAGATATTTCAATCAGCTGCCAAGTGGATTGTAAATATTTATAAATACATGTCATAACTAAAATTTGTTGAACCTTTGATATACGTAATTAATGTGAGAATTGAAGAAAAAAGCTGTTGCTTTGGTGGAATACATAATTACCATAATATTCTAATTAATTGCATTCTTTTTGTTTCGTGTTGATATTCTCATTTTCACTTGCAACGTAGTTGCATTATTTATTTATAAATTTGCAAGTTAAACTTTGTTAAAATAAAAGTTTACTTAGATTATGGATAAGACCAAATTAAATGTTTTTTTGGGATTTTTAATTTTTAATATGCGAGAAATATCTACATATATAAAATGCTAATGCTTATCTGTGTAGTCTCTACCGAAGTAACGACTTGCTCTAGAAAGTTGCTTTTTTTACTAAAAGATAGCTAATTGGCTCGATTAACCTAAACGATTCTGCTTAAACTGCTTGACGTTTCAAGCTGATTTTTGACAAACGGATTGACTGTGGGGTGTAGAGGTTGGATGAGGGACTTCTTGTATCTCAAATTCCAAGAGGGTGAAAACGCCCCTCAAATATTACAACATTTGTTATTTAAAAAACGGTTACTTGTCTTTCGGGAAAACGCTTTGACACGCATAATTTATTTTGTTTTTTACATATTTTGAATTTTTTTAAAAAATCATACAGGGTGTTCCAAAAAGTTGGGTAATTGATTAACCACGATTCTGCTTAAACTGCTTGACGTAGAAAGTTTATTTTTGGCAAACGGATTTTTCGAAAGTCAAATTCCAACGAGATGAAACTACCCCTCAAATATTACCAAGTTATTTAATAATATCGCCATATTGTTTTTTCTCATGCTGACATAAATGTGACAAAATTTTATCCAGTTTGTATGTTAATGGAAATTCTTGCTTATCATCACCATTACAAATGATTAATTCGACGCTAACGAAGTCGCGGGTACACGCCAGTTATGAATAAACTTGAAGTAAATTCTTTTGACCGCTAGGTATATTAATGTGTATTTTTCATTATTACAGACATACTCCGGCCTCTTCTGCGTCGTGGTCAACCCCTACAAGAAACTGCCTATCTACACAGAAAAAATCATGGAAAGGTACAAAGGTATCAAGCGACATGAGGTTCCGCCACACGTTTTTGCCATTACAGATACAGCATACAGATCTATGTTACAAGGTGAGTACACAGACAGTATACATTTTCAAACAACATTGAACAGTGCGTCCGACACAGTTGCGCGTCTTTTCAGTCAAAACTCTTTATACAAGATACAAGATATATCATATAACAGTACAGAGTACAGTGACTAATACCAACTTTTTTATTTAAATACAACACTCTGTATGCTAGTCAATTTTTGGACTTGGAAATTCTTGTAGTAATACCTGCTTGGTTTGGTTTGGTTAGGCGTAAGCAGGTAACGCGTGTTTTGATTGCTCTTGTTTCACTTTGTTTGTGCGTTAAAAGCAATCAAACATTGATTGCCCAAGCTATGTTATGGCGACTTTAATGTGCGACTAGACCAAGCCAAAACCAATGCGATCAAAACCCGCTTATCGAGACATTAACGAGGCTACGTTAACGTCTACGGACAACCAAATCACTACTGTTTTGAATTCCTCTTCACAATGTTAACTTTATTCTTTTTGTTCTCCGTCCACAATGTTAACTTTATTTCAGAAGAAAATCATATAAAATAATTTTATTGACAACGTCGCAAATTCTATGCGAAGGCCATAGATGACATACCGATGATCGATTAACTGTCAATCGAAAAAGTCATAAAATTGCTGGCTTGGGATGTTGTAAATAAAAATATTTTCTTAATTTTTATGCTTACAAAGAAGATTCGTTACATTTTTGTGCTTAAATTAGGTCATTCCACGTCTATATGTATAAGGTAATAAAGTGCTAATATGTGATGTTTTTACTGAATCCGTGTAGAAATATTTACATATTTACTGTCCGTCGCCTGTACCTAAAATACGTTTTTTTTGTCGCCTTTTAAAGATAAAACACATTCATCCAACAATTTTTTTTGCTTAAAAATGTTCAATTAAGATAATCTTGCAAAAAAGTCCCAAAAAAGTGTGAAATGCTTGGGGTCCTATTGTGCACCAGAGCCGCAAGGACAATACAGAAGCAGAATTGCTAATGTTTCTTATAAATTTAATATATGTTTAGTTAACTCCAGCATACTTAATTATGTATATTTTGTTTCTTCATTCTACTTATTATAAAAGGTAAATATTTCCTAAAGATATCATCAGGCAAGCCGGCAACGTCGAGAAAATTTATCATAGCGTCCGGGAATCAACCAAACTGATAGGTGGAGATTGTCGCACGTTTCATTATCAGGTGATTAGCCAGGCGCACATCAGCCATGCGCATAACGTTTTCCTATTGGCCAGTGCTACCCCAATTTATACCCCTCGAAATAGTGGAAATATTGTCTAGAATTGAAAATTGAAATATCCACTGGTGCTGTTATTGTATTGTATTTTATATCTTTAATTTGATTTATGCATTTTATAATTAGTACACGCTCTCTAACAATTATTACTATATTTAGCAAATCACTAAACAGAATGTAGATACTCAGACTGTATATGGAAATTCCATACGCAAGAACCCGTAAATGTAGGAATTTAAATTTGCACATATTTTCCTGTTGCACTGGCCAGAATAATAATGCTTTTAGCATTTTTTGTTGATTATTTATTTAATGAGTGCCTGCTCTTGGTAGTGTTCGTAAACTCCGTCCACATAGCTCGCGAGCAGGCCGAACGAACACGAGAAACATGGCAAACAGTCGGAGCGAGATGCTCGCGACGCTCGTGGTGCTCCACGTGATTGCGACCTCATAAGATGCTTGATTCGACTGTTCGGTAGAGATGGGCAAAAGTAACCGGTTTTTTGAATAACCGGTATTTTCCTCTAAAATAACCGGTTATTTAAAGGTAGTTTTTTTTCACCAATTAACCTAATAACCTTGCATTACGTTCAATAACCTATAGCCGGTTATTTTTTAAAAAATCGTACTTGTTTAAAACAACTAACAATTAAATATTAGCTGTTTGAATCGTAAATTTCGAAGAAGCGAACGGCACGGATCTTCCCGATATTACGACCATAACGGGAGATCCCGCTCCCGCTCCCAAAACGAAAATATATGACATCAAATGTCAAAATTAAATCAGGCATCAGGCGAACCCTGATGATAATAATCAAAACAACGGCCGAATGGCCCTGATCTGTCAGGGCCATTCGGCCGTATAAAGCAAAGTACTAATGCCATAGACTACTACTAGCCACCAGCTAGCCAAGTAATACAAACCTAACTTCAAATAGATTCTCTAAATTCTATATTTAAATTTTAACCGACTTTAACGGATTTTCAACGGTTCTTCAAAAGTTTTCCATGGTTTCGCCCAGTTTCACCCACGTTTCACCGTAAATATATTTCATTTGTAGTTTGAAGTCTCTCTTGAAGCTTAGATTAAGAATACAAAATTGAAGTTCAACATAGAAGTTCAAGTAATGAATGAAGATAATCTCTCATTATTTATTCATTCAGTCTCCTTATTTTTCTCCGTATTTGATTAAAATAACTTGGTTGTAGATTGTAGAACTTGTGAGTTGTGTGGTTTATTTGAACGTTAAGTAATTACTAGTTTTAATATCATATCCATGTCTACTCAAAAAAGTGAGGTTAGCATTTTTATTTAAATTCATTTTGTACATATACATACTTACATTGCTACAATCTCTATTTAATCATGCGATTTAACTAAGTTTATTATCTAAATTTGAAGTAGACGTATGGAGTGTAGAGGACACAATTAGATTTTATTACTAAATATTTAGTTTTGCTAGGTTAGGTTATTTGAATAACCGGTTATTTTGTGTCGGTTAATTTTGTCAAGTTATTATTTTTTAAAGATAATTCCGGTTAACCTATAACCGGTTTTTTTACCAATAACCGCCCATCTCTACTGTTCGGCTCTATCGCGGTACATCAAAGCTTCGGAGCCATGCGAGCATACTTTACGGCGCGGCGGTTCGAGGCGCTCGAGCTGTTTGCGTTGTTTTTTAAGGTTTCATTCATTGGATTCGGTATTTATTGCAGTATGATGATACTACCATGATTTTTCTTATTTTATTTTGTTCAGAATTACAAATATTTATGTGTTGTTCTTGGATTAATAATATTAAATAAACCTTTAATAAAATATAACTCTATATTTATAAAATGGAAAACAAATTTCTTGCGGTATAGTTGTATATTCTTCTATATTTATATTGCCTACTTACATATTGTTGCGAGCCGGTGTGGACTCGACCTAACCTCACAATATGGCCCGCCCTCGGATGACCTTAACATCGCATAGACACCGCAATGATTCATTCGTTCGAGAAGAATCGAGACCCACTAGAATGGACTAGTACATACGAGAACATTCGAAAACCTTCTCTATGCGCCTAACGATCTTTGGACTATTCTAGATTTCTTTTACCTGTCGGTATAAAAGCCGGCGGCAGTGGCCTAGAGGGGGCAGTTATAAATATAACAGTGCAGTTGACGCGCTAAAATTCAAAATAAATTCTTAGTTATAAATCGTTTGTAAATAGTTCTATAAGTATTTTATCGTTATTGTTTTTGTTAATTAGTGTTAAATAAATAGTGTTTAAATAAATTGTGACTTTCTATCCACACGGAACCGACGAAAAACGTAACAATATCTTAATCCGATCTTTGAGAACTTTATTTATATTTTGGCATACGCCTGGTATTATTTTTGAAATACTTTGCTTAGGAAACTTTGCATAAATAACCCAAACTGGTATGTGAATCTCTAGTTGCAAGGAATCTTAATGTTTGGCCAATCTTTTTTTAACTTTTTCTTTAACCGGAATACACTTAAAATTTGTATTTTTTCTTTCTATACGGGGACCAACTAATCAATAAGTCTTTCAAAATCAGTAGCGGACATGCGATATAAAAAAATATTAAAACACGTTCTGTCTGTTTGTAAATCGCGTAGATGTTTATTTTCACTGCTGGGATCTACTTTTGAAATTATTAAACATCCAACACCGCCTTTTTTCTCTTTGTCTCCTTCGTTTTGCAATAGTGATCGCACTAGCAGCCGCTATTAAAAATACCTCGGTATCATCCATGTCCGAACAGCACGAATGCAAGCACTACACTACAATCTAGACGCCGTTGCTTGCGAGCCGAAAGATCTTGAGAAACACGACAAACAGGAAGCCCAAGCAATGCAAGCGCAATTAGAAGCTAGAGCGCGCGCAGGATCACGAGCGTGGGCGCACCTTTACATTTTTAATTTTATTATTTTATGATACTGAATTCTCGTAACAGTATTTTTAACGATTTAAGAGCATGGCTACTATTTTATAACTAAATACACATGCATTTGTTATAAAAAAAACTTAATTTATCTTTTACTTAAAAATTCATTAGAAATCTGCTACTATTTATTATATCTAATGATGTTGTCATGATAAGAGGAATTTTTCAATCTGCTAAATCAGATTACTTATAACATGACTAACTATTTTTTTTTATTCATACTTGATATCGAAATATTGAATATTGAGAATGATTGATTCCAATAACCTTCTAAGTAGCTGTAATATTTCAATATAACTCGTAAAATTGATTTTCTGGAATATTATCTGTTGAGATTTTACGAATTTTTGCCACTATTAAAACAAACCAAAACTGATTTCATGTGATGCATCAATGTAAATTAAACGGGCTAACGCACAGTGATCAGTCGGGAGGTTTAGGATGGGTTTAGTAAGTACAGCCTCAATCAAAAAGTGTCATTTTTACTCCTATCAAAACATTATACTATTCGTTTGATTTTCGTACTTTTATGCTTAGTCGTAAAATTGTTTTATTTTTATGCCTAGGCGATATTTTTATGCCTCACGTCGCAAAAATTAATACTTTTGTGACATTTGAAAAAAAAAATTTGCCTAACGGCTAAAAAATTCTTAATGTTTCAGTGGGTAGGTATTCTCCTCTGGCCGTCAGAAACATCTGAAAAATCAAAACGATTGTTATTGATGTATTATACATATTGTTGGTTTGGAATTATATAGTTAAACATACAATATACACATAATATACAACGACACAGGTAATTCTAAGCCAACGATATGGGTATCTCGGAAACTACTGGAGATAGAGAGTCTATTAAATGGGGAAAGAATTGCAGTTTTGTGGGGTCATAAATATGCGCCTTTCAGATTTTTGAGAAAGTTCATAGCTTACTAGATATTTCGAAAAAAAAACAAATTTCGGCTATTTCAAAAATGGTCCCTAATTCCATTATAATCTATTTTAGACAAAAACTTTTCAGATAAAAGTTGTAGATAATCACATCCTTAATGAGACTGTGTTTTCCTTTTTTTTCTAAAGCCTGTCATTTTTGACATATGACACCTCGTATGAAACCAACTTATGTTTTTTAAATGGAAACCATAGTTGGCCATGATATAAGCTATAATATGTTTTTTCGAAAAATTACTGAGTTATAGCCAATTCTTATCTTTCTACACTAATTTCACTTAGTTGGTATGGTATTCTTATTCTGTTATTTATTTAATTATTATAATTTAATCTTATAAAAAGACAGAATATTTTATTAAACGGTTCTTTACAATTTACATTACACAAATTAAAACTTAAAAAATAGTATACTATTCAACGAGCATAAATGTAATGGTGGCTAGGCTTGGATGATTTATGGATTGGATGATTTTAAACCAAACCAAACTTCATCCGCGTGACTAACAGCCATTATATGCGAGTAGAATACTATACTTTATCCAGGACTATCAAAAAAATTTAGATAATGTTAATATAAGTTTTTATTTTTAATGTCAAAAAAATATTGAACGAGTGATAGTAACATGGAAACAAAACATTGAAATTTTCTTTATTTTGTACGTACAATCGTATTCCAAGCCGGTTTGGATCGAGCACAGCTCTTCTTTGGAGTTTCGATCGAGATATCCGTGGAAGAGGTGAATAATGATACCATTATTCACTAGTGAATAACGAATATTATTATTATTTCATAAATACACTTTAAGTTACTTTAGAAAATGTTAAAAAATATACCGCATAGAATCTAAAATGAATAGGTCAGGTGATCGAGGAGGCCCATGCAATTAGTCCACCTCTTCCTATCCCTGAGTTTGAATAATTATGATATAAATAATTTTTTACATTTCTTTCATTATGGGGGGAGTGTCATAATCAACCACTCTATTGATGCGCGAGTCTCTAAATTTAACATTTCTAACATGTCTTGAAAACGGTTCTCTAAAAAGCGTATTTACGTATCCTCGAAAATGTATGGCCAAGAAATGTTGAACCAACAATCCTACACGCTTTTCTTCGTACAATATAATATATAATACTTCTTCTACAAAGTTTGGATGTGACAGTTTGACATTTCTGAGAGCAAAGACGATTGAACTTGTTTCCATGGGTAACTAAGTGAAATTGTTTAAAAATGATAGGAATTCGCTGTAACTTTAAAATTTTTTGGAAAAAACTTAAAAAGCTTATATCCCTGAAAAGCTTAAAAAATGGCGTTTTTTTATGAAGTCGTGGCCAACTATCGTTTCCTTTTAAAAAAACATAAGTTTGTGTCATATCAAAAATTACAGTCTTTAGAAAAAAGCGGAGAACACAATCTCATTAAGGATGTGATTACCTACAACTTTTATCTGACTTTTTTTTTTGGTCTGAAATAGATAATAATGGAATTAGAGACAATTTTTAAAAGAGCCAAAATTTGTTTTTTTTCGAAATATAAGCCATGAACTTTTTCAAAAATCTGAAAGACGCATCACAAAACTGCAGTTCTTTCCCCATTTTACCGACTCTCTATCTCCAGTAGTTTTCCAGATTATGGGTATCTCGGGAACTATTCAAACGTCGGTAGAGAACATCGTAAAAAACTCACCCTGTATTAGAGTATTTTATCAAGATGGATTTTTATCTTATTTTTATGTTTCAGAAAGAGAAGACCAATCGATCCTTTGTACCGGCGAATCGGGTGCAGGAAAAACAGAGAACACCAAAAAAGTTATTCAGTATTTGGCGTATGTGGCAGCTTCAAAATCTCCTAAAGGATCTGGAGCGGTAAGCAAAAGAAATAATTGTCTTAAATGCAATATGTACATACATAATATACATACACATTTGTATACAGCCTTTTAAGTTTTCTAGGGCAACTTTTTCGATGATTAAGCACCTAGTTTAAAATTAATATTTCAAGAAAAAGTGACTATATATAAATATTATTTGTTATCTTGTACTAAATTTGAACTACTTACTTATTTTGTACTCCTTTTCCGACATATGTTCATATAAAGTTTTATTTCATAAAATAATCTGAAGAATTACTATCTGAAGTGTTTTCTTACTTAGGTAACACACTGTATATTGTAGTGTACATATCTTTCATTATAAAAAATTAAATCTTTAGCAGTCTATGTCGGATTTACCAATTAATTTTCAGCTTGAAGTGAACTTTCTAGTATCAACTGCCAAGCTCCCAGTAGTTTTTAAACATCATTTTGAGAAAAATTTCTTATATTTTTAAATCTTTAAGATAAATTAAGATATTAAATAGATTTTCTTCAAATCCAACCGAATGACAACGTTCTGAAATTACTTAATTTTAAAAAAATAGCTTGTTTTATTTTTCATTCAGGTATTTCAAAACAAATGCAAAATACTTTATGATTTGGAAAAATAACTTTTATTTCAAAAACTGAAGTGTTGTGAGAGTATTCCTACAATGAACACATTATGTGCATATTTTTTTTCATTGGTTTTGAGATACCCTGTATTCATTCTTATCCAAATAATTAATCTGTGTTTTATTTGCATGTTTACCTTTGGGGATGTACAGCAAAAAGATCTTATCGTAAGTAATTTTTTGGTTATTAGCTAGATATAAGTTTACATTTAGTTAAAAATGTTTATAGTGAATTGCACGCTATTTCTTGTTCACAGTTTTATTTAAATCCAAGTACTAAAGCTGCGTCCCCATTGCTCGCGAGCAGGCCGAACGAACACGTGAAACAGGAAAAACATGGCAAACAGTCGGAGCGAGATGTTCGCGACGCTCGCGGTGCTCCACGTGCTTGCGATCCAGTGTTGCCAGATGAAAATATGTAATATCCGTATTTCGTTGGTCGAAATATCCGTAGTTGAATAAAAAAATCCTTATTTATACAGGGTGAGTCTTGAATAAGTGCAAATATTTTCAGGGATGGTATATTTCGACCCCAGGAACACGTCTATGAGGTTTTTTCGCATAAAAATGTGATAAAAATCGTACATTTTTTAAAAATTTTATAATATCTGATATGGTTACGCTTACATGGTCACGATACATAGGAGTGCAAATCCAGAAAAAAAACGGTAAGAGAACATATGTTATCGAGATCTACCACCCCTGAAAATATTTGTACTTATATAAGACACACCCTGTATTTTATTGATCAATTAATTCATGTTAAACATAAAATAAATATCAAAAATAAACATCTTAAAAATTATAAAACATTACTACTTCTCAATATCTACGTACTAACTACGTAGTATTACATGGACAAGAATAGATGAGACAAACAAGTATTGCAAACCAATACAATTTTTTATTATTACAAAAATATGATCCGACTGGCAAATAATATCAGTTATTAATTCTTTGTATGATTAGTATTGTCAATTAATCGATGGTAATAGATAAAATTTTTAATTTGCAAATATTCTTTTATGGGTATAGGTACTACATATTTCGTATGATAAAAGTCGTTTAGTAGGCTTGGAAATGAACATTTACCATATCATTTTACACATGAAATAACAGTGATCTTCATTTCCAAGGCAACTGTGACGCTGTTCTTTTTTAAACATATAATATGTTAAATTGTTCAATAACTGAAAATTTATTGGAAAAAAATCCGTACGTCCGTAGAATATATCCGAAATCCGTCAATCTACGGATTAATCCGTAGTTCTGGCAACACTGTTGCGGTCTCATAAAAGGCCTGTTTCGACTATTCGGCTCTGTCGCGGTATATTAAAGAGACGCTTCGGAGCCATGCGAGCATACTTTACGGCGCGGCAGTTCGAAGTGCTCGAGCTGTTTGCGTTGTTTGTTAAATTTTTAGTTTGGTTTCATTTATAGGATTCGGTATTTACTGCAGTATGATGATACTACCATGATTTTTCTTATTTTGTTTTGTTCAGAATTACAAATATTTGTGTTTTGTTCTTGAATTAATTTTATTAAATATACCTTTAATAAAACATAACTCTATATATTGCTTACTTATCTTAATCTGATCTTTGAGAACTTTATTTATATTTTGGCATACACTTGGTATTATTTTTGAAATGCTTTGCTTGGAAACTTTGAATAAATAACCCAAACTGGTATGTGAGTCTCTAGTTGCAAAGAATCTTAATGTTATGGCCAATCTTTATTTAACCGGAATACACTTCTTTAACCGGAATACACTTCCTTAAAGTTGTATTTTTCCTTTCTAGACGGGGGCCAACTAAATTAATAAGTCTTTCAAAGTCTCTCTGTTTGTAAATCGCGTAGATGTTTAGTTTCACTGTGCTAGGATCTACTTTTGAAATTATTAGACATCCAACACCGCCTTTTTTTCTCTTTGTCTCCTTCGTTTTGCAATAATGATCGCACTAGCAGCCGCTATTAAAAATACTTCGGTATCATCAATGTCCGAACAGCACGAACGCAAGCACTACATTACAATGTGGACGCCGTTGCTTGCGAGCTGAAAGATCTTGAGAAACACGACAAACAGGAAGCGCAAGCATTGCAAGCACAATCAGAAGCAAGAGCGGAGGAGGATCACGAGCAATGTGGACGCACCTTAACATGTGATCTTGGAACTATTTTCAAAATATGTCTCTCGACAATCAACGATTCGATACATTTTAAGGTTTTAACGTTCACATGAATTGTTGCACTTTTTAAATCGTAGATTTAGAATATAAGGATGTAGCAATAACTATTTTTTCGATACTTACTTAATGAACTATACATGAAAAGATAACAAGGTGAACAGTATGTTGATTTGTTTTTATTAGATTCAGTCACATATTACCATTGTATATACAGGGTGGTCCGAACTGTATTCCGGAAACTTCGGCAGCATATTCTGCAGATAAAAATAAGTAAAAAAGTTCTTATAAATGTATGTCCTAATATGCTTAGTTTCGGAGATACAGGGTGTAGAAGTTTCATTTTTATTTCGATTTTTTCCAAATAATTTCTGAAGGAACGTCAATATTTGGATGAAAATTGGTGTCTAGGAGTTTTTTAACATGAGAAATTTGATTTTGATGTCAATATGACAATATGACTGGTAGAGGGCGCCACCTACATGTATTTTAACTGTTTTGAAGAGTAATAACTTTTCGTCCGTACCTGAATAAAACTACGAGCAACCGTTGTCAAGATATTTAGAATAGAAATAGTCGATACGTGTCATTATTACAAAAAATAAACATGTTGAGTAGATAGGTATTTGACAGAAATGATTAATTTGGGAAGTTTTTATTCTTTTAAGTTCATCATAAATTTTTCTTCGAAAAAATGATGATAAAACAGTTTCTGTTGAACTTTTGGCACAACACGTATCAAATTTATGATTTCAGTCTAATAACTATTTAGTCAACATGTTTAATTTATGTCAATGATAACAGGTATTGATAATTTCGATTCAAAATATCTGGAGAACCATTACTCGTAGCAATTTTACCAAGAGACCTTTTTTACGTAAAAAACGTTGTAAATGTATGTATTTTTACTCGGTAGTTTTATACATATACGGACAAAAAGTTATTACTCTTCAAACCAGTTAAAAAATGTGTAGGTGGCGCCCTCTACTAGTAGGAGTCATGTTGACATCAAAATCAAATTTCTCATGTCAAAAAACTCCCAGACACCAATTTTCATCCAAATATCGACATTACTTTTATTTGGAAAAAATCGAAATAATATATAATAACTTCTACACCTTGTATCTCCGAAACTAACCATTTTAGGACATATATTTATACGAACTTTTTTACTTGTTTTTATCTGCAGAATTTGCTGCCGAAGTTTCCGGAATACAGTTCGGACCACCCTGTATATTACCAGTTTTAGAGTCTATTTGCTCAGTAAAAAACTTACAAAAGTACCATATGGTTTACTTTATGTAATGCAAAAACTGTTTACCACGCCTCTAGGTATTATTTTTATTTATGATATCACGACTGTCTCTCTCGACTCTTGAGATTCAACAGCGCACTGCTTATTATTCAGGCGGCATCAGTTTATAAGAGTGTAATTTTACCGAAAAATATGGACCTCCCTTCAGCCCAATTATTTTTATAACTTGTTTTAATGTTTATATTATATAATGATTGCAAGATATTTTCACATTTTTAGAAAGTATTTAACAATTATTTATTTCAGTCGCTTTTTTACTTAATTCCTTAACTATGGAATCATACAAAATATGCTAGACATGTGAGCAAATATTTCATTTTTTATACCACATTCTAAAAGTATTTCCGAAAAAAAGATCAAATATCTTTGATTTACATACTTAATTTATTCCAAGTCAAAGAATCACCCTGTTTATAAAATTTAAACCAATATCTATAATCTAATATATGTACAGGGTGTCCCACTAAGAATAGCTCCCGGCTGTATCTCGGAAAATATCAATATAGTGTGGGCATGCTGAAATCGCTATTAAATAATGATTAAGCTATCGAAAATTAAGTTAGTTTTGTTATTGCTACTTCGAATTCAATGTTTCACTAAATAGAATATTAATTTGAACGCTGCGCTGTAGAGTAGATTTTTTACGTTTTTATTTGTTTGTACTGCACATTTTAAGCCAATTTTCCTTATTTTTACATGCGGTCTCACTGGTAGAGTCCGACCAGGGAATTTTCGGTACGTAAAGATCAGATCAGAATCAAGTGGTGCGTGACTTTGAACCTGTACAGGCAACTTGATCTGAGGCTATCGATACTTAAAAAAGTCGATATCTTTGTTGTAACTTATCGATATACAGGTTGGCCTATTAGTGCGAAGATTGAAAAAACATTTTTTTGATATGAAAAAAAAATTATACCGATGTTGCATCGTTTATAATAGTGTATATCCTAAAAATATTGTTACGGATTCCATTGGTTTACTAATTTAAACTCACGATTAAATACTTAACAAATTTATTTTTCTCATTATATACACACAATTTATACTAATTATAACACACAATTAACTTTTTATAAAATTCCTTCGCCAAATTGTCACGATTCTTTTCAAACTTCAACTTCAACTGGCCCCAAGAACGGTAAACTAATAGGATTGCTCATCCTCATAAGACGTACGTTCGCCTCTTCCCGCGCTTCAGCTGACAGTTGTGACGTCATTGTAGCCCTTGTCAAAGCCTTCGTGGCCTTGTCATGATAGTGTGTATTATTAGTTGCCTATGGTAAACTTATAAAAATAACAGCTGAGAAATTTTGAGTTAATTATTTTGTCAATTTTAAATGTGAAAAAGGTGTCTTTAAAGTTTTTAGAGCTATAGAGTGTATAAATACGTTCATTTTGTGTTGTGGATTGTGACAAAGTGCATACTAAGTGCCCACGATTTTGTTTATTAATTATTTTAAAGCAAAATATGGAAGTACTCTAAAAAGAATGCTTGCAAAAGGTGATGCTGGGACCTGCTGTTCTTAAAAATGCATTATCCGAGTATTTAATACGATTTATACAGTTAATTTTCTATACTGCATACATATAAGGTATTTAAATAAATAAACTAAATAATGAACGTTTTGCATTCGGTAACCAATAATGCACGTGCGTGTATTATTGGTTGCCGGATAAGGACTAATAACCATGACAAGGGCTACAATGACGTCACAAAGCGAGTAGTTTTCCCATGCACCTGGCGGACACTTTTGGCTGAATGAGCAGTCCTATTAGGTTAACTGTTCTTGAACTGGCCCAACTGCTAAGCGCGGGCTTTATATACTCTACCAACTGTTTCTGGAGCCTTCTATTTCTAGGATTCTGTAATGTTTCTTTAACTTGCAAGTAAATTATTTTTAGATCATCGATAGATTCCTCTAAGTCTCAGAGATGGCGCGCTACTCAATTCGCCATGTTTCTTGACAATGTAGGCAACCAGCAATACACTTGCAGTTATTTACTTCTCCGACAGATGTCGCCACCGCCTTAACAAAATTTTGTGATATACAATATAGAGGGTGTCGCAAAAAAAATTATGACAAGGTTTTAAGTTTTTTTAAATTGCACCCCGCATTTTTCTTTCAGAATTGGATTCAGCATAAAATTCTGCATATAGTACACTATTTTTATTTGAAGCAATGCGGTGTTGCAATTGTATGCAATTTTATTTCATATTTATTAAAACTTTGGTTAAAAACACTATGTCCGATAAGTGGTTAAAAACTGGAGTGCATATAGCTTTATTAATACTTAGTTATACTTTCCCCGGTATATATACCCCTTTATAAGCCATGCAACATTTATATAAAACTTTTTTTCATAATCTTCGACAACAACGACGATATTGGAGTTCCTCGCACTAATGGGCCAGCCTGTATATATTCAACATCATGTAGATATTTCTTTGATTCATTTGAAATTAAATTTCAAAGTCACAAACCAACTTAAAAATGTGTTTTTGCTTTTTTGTCGTGATCTGTTTACTGTAAAATTGTGCTTGCGTTGTTATTCCATTATATATTACTCATTCATGCGTTTTACAAAAACTTTTTTCATTACTTATTTTATCTATTAATTATTACTAAAACATATCATCATCTACGAAATGATTTAAACTGACTGAACATTATCTAAGGGCCTGACTAACTACACCGTGTAATCGAATAAAAACGACGTCACAGTAGGTGTTGCAATATTTCAGTTCTAGATTGACTATGTCGAACCAAAGATATTATAATTTTCATTAGTTGAACGCTTAAGTTTTTGTTAACGGATAGTGAGTCAAGTCTGTTAACGAATAAGGGAAGATAACAAGAAATAACAAAAAATGCAGTTTACCTATGAATTAAAATGACAGACACAACTGTCACTATCGTGTATCCTGTCCTTGGACAGATTATACCTTGAAGTTCTGGGTTAAAATTAAAACTACAAAATAAAAAATATTAAAGAAAGTTCCCAAATTTCCAAACAACAGAACATTATGTTAGAAACTATTTTTTTTATATTGTTGTCACTTTCAGCAGCTAAAGTTGCGTCCACATTGCTCACGAGCAAGCCGAACGAACACGTGAAACATGGCAAACAGTCTGAGCGATCTCATAAAATGCCTGTTTCGACTATTCGGCTCTGTCGCGGTACATCAAAGAGACGCTTCTAAACCATGCGAGCATACTTTACGGCGGTGCGAAGCGCTCGAGCTGTTTGCATTGTTTGTTAAGTTTTTAGTTTGGCTTCATTCATAGGATTCGGTTTTTACTGCAGTATGATGATACTACCACAGATTATACAGATTATAAACTTTGTTTTTTCTGTATTGTTTTTCGTGGTTCCATTTTTCGGAATCGGGCACTAGTTAGGTTACTAGTTTGCGTACATAGCACGCCCACTTATGGCCTCTAAAATTATGCACAGCGGCTGACCGGCACAGTTATTAGAGAGATATCGGAAAACCGAATTGCGTCGTGCAGTATTTACGCGTACCTTATCATGGTTACGATATGCGCGAGTCAATTTTTAACGCAACACTCGCTAATAACGTTACGGCCTGACGTAATTTGCGGATCAATTACACCAAGCGCTATTTCTAAATAACGTTTAAAAATTGCTTAAATGGGCATGTGGAGATATTTGACAACCGGGGCCGGCCGGCGAGATTTTTTATTTTTGGTTTTTTTTGGTTTTGGTTTTGGTTATTTTGGTTGTGTTTGAATTGTTTTGAATTATTACTTTAGTTTTATTAGGTAATTAATTTATTAGTTAATTTGATATTTAAGTAGCTGGGATTAGTTTTAATTAAACAAATATGGGCCTAAAATATGGATTCCACCTCTTTCAATATTAAAGAACCTATAAAGAGGCTTAAGTTTACAGCAGATGATGACTTAGCCCTTGTAAGAGAATTTGTTCTTGTTGCCCTAAACCCACTGGCAGACGTTGAACAATAAAGCACTGGAAATAAACACTTTAGCCCTTTAGTTTTAAAATACCTAGTAAACAAAACAATTTCAAAGTTAGGTTAAGTTTAAATAGCGGACGCGACGCGAACAGAATTCTTTCCGACCCGATAACTATAAATGAAGAGAGTTAATACCACCTCACGTAAAGGAATAAAAATAACACCTGGCCTTATTAACGTCCATGCACGCTATTCGGTTTAGCGATATCTCTCTATTACGCTGTTTATTGTTATTTTACGCGAGTTTATTTTTGCGCACAGGAAATTTTACTCGTTTGCACATCGTCATAAAAAACAATTTTCGTACCACGAATTAGGGACAAGATTTTTATCTGTATACTTATAGGATACCTAATCTGTAATACTACCATGATTTTTCTTATTTTATTTTGTTCAGAATTACAAATATTTGTGTTTTGTTCTTGGATTAATAATATTAAATATACCTTTAATAAAATATAACTCTATATTTATATTGCCTACTTATCTTAATATGATCTTTAAGAACTTTATTTATATTTAGGCATACGCGTGGTATTATTTTTGAAATGCTTTGCTTGGAAACTTTGAATAAATAACCCAAACTGGTATGTCTCTAGTTGCAAAGAATCTTAATGTTGTGGCCAATCTTTATTTAACTCTTTCTTTAACCGGAATACACTTCCTAAAAGTTGTATTTTTCCTTTCTATACGGGGGCCAACTAAGTTAATAAGTCTTTCAAAATCAGTAGCGGACATGCGAAAAAAAATATTAAAAAAACATTCTGTCTGTTTGTAAATCGCGTAGATGTTTACTTTCACTGTGCTGGGATCTACTTTTGAAATTATTAGACATCCAACACCGCCTTTTTTCTCTTTGTCTCTTTCGTTTTGCAATAATGATCGCACTAACGGTCGCTATTAAAAATCCTTTGGTATCATCCATGTCCGAACAGCACGAACGCAAGCACTACATTACAATATGGACGCCGTTGCTTGCGAGCCGAAATATCTTGAGAAACACTAACAGGAAGCGCAGGCAACGTAAGCACAATCACAAGCAAAAGCGTCAGCAGTGTGAACGCACCTACATAGATATCCTCATACTGAAGTAGCATTTCTGCTCCTACTGTGAAGTCTCTGTTATTTGATTATAACAGCAGTTACAAATATAAGATTACATTTATTTGATGTTAGTGCAGTCAAAGTGCAGTGGTCTATACCTATAATTGTACATAATAATACTAAAATATATATATACTAAAAGAATATTAACACTATTAATTTAAACAAAAAATACAAAATAAATTGTTAAATTTTGTGTAATTTTTTATAGGGTGGTTTGGAACAGCAACTGTTACAGGCCAATCCGATCCTGGAAGCCTTCGGAAATGCCAAAACGATAAAGAATGATAATTCTTCCAGATTCGTAAGTATTTTGGATAAAAACGTACATATTTTGAAGAACGAGTTCTTTCTTTAGGGAAAATTTATCAGAATCAACTTCGACGCCTCTGGCTACATTGCTGGTGCTAACATAGAGACTTACCTACTAGAAAAATCGCGTGCCATAAGACAAGCTAAGTCCGAGAGGACTTTCCACATTTTTTACCAACTTTTAGCAGGAGCTTCTGCTGAACAAAAAAGTAAGATTTTTTCTTTTGTAGTACGAAGGTTGTCTTTTATATTTTGCATATAGAGGTAGAAAAAAACAGTAGATAATTTTATATTGCACGAAAATTTTCTCAATTCAAAAATTCCCATCTTCAAAAATTCAGTTTAGGTACAGTTTTGAACCAAGCGGTTTAATACTTTGGCGCTTAGTTAACTAAAGATGACAGTTAATTTTGACATTTGATATACCCTGCTGGTCATCCAATTTATGTGGTCTGGATTTTAATGAGTGTGACGGAGAATAATATAAATGACCGGTTGACAGACGGAGAGACAAAATCAAAAGCGGCATACAGTGTTGCCGGGTTTTTTTACGTTTGTAGGAAAATCTGTGTAGAAAAATATAAGCTATTTTAAAAACTTTTATGTCTAAACTAAATATAATCTATTACAGCTGCAGTAAAATAAGTAACCTAATGTTAAAAAATAAAGTTTCAACCCTTAGATGCAACATTTTTCGTAAACGCTTACTTGTGCGGTTTGAAATTTTGATGCAAAATCCGGCAATATCGCATAGAAGAAATGTGTCGACCAAATTTTTATTTCTTTTTAATACATTTGATTTTCCATTAAGCTGCCTAACCTAACCTAATCACTGTCTTAAGCTTGATTTTCATGCATCCGTTATCCGACGATACGATGATACGATATTAATTTTATTGGTTGAATTTAAAGACTTCGATTGGTTAGAAACGGTTAATCAACCGAAGCCTTTAAATTCAACCAATAAAATTAATATCGTATCAACGTATCGTCGGACAACGGATGCATGAAAATCAAGCTTTACACGTTAAAATCCAGACCGCACGGTTTCGATGACCAAATCGGTATGTTGACACACGCCCTACTAGGTTTCTACAGGGTGTTTCAAAAAACATGTGCCATCTCCCATGGGAAGATTCCCCACGTAAAAATAAGATTTATTTTTGATATCAACAAAGGTCCGATTCTGCTTTGTTTCGTAGCTACAGCGTGTTAAAAGTCTTTATATCCTTTCGATTTATTATAATTTTCTTCCAAGTACTTTTAGTAATTCGAATGTAATTTTGAGGGTAAATGTTACTATAAGTGCTACATATTTTATTGCTAAAAAGTGGAGATAAATTTATCAGGGACGAGCATATCGGTTATCACTGGAATATATTTCAAAAAAAAAATGTGCGCCACTGACTTTTTTCTTTTTATATCAAAATTGTGTAGGCCGTTTAATTAAAAATATACTAATTACCATTAGTTATTATTACTATTAGTTCAACCTAGAGCAATTTAAAATAAAAAAATAATGGTATTTAAGATAATTACACAAAAGTTAATTTTAAAAAGTTTTAACATCCTGTAAACTATCTAAAACTATGCATTTTCATACCCATGTTTATAGGAACTTTTTTTCATATTTTTTTAATGAGGAATCAATGAGTACTTATTTAAAACTTTCGCAAGTTAATGATATTATTTTTTTTAAAGGTTGCTATTAGACTTGGATCAAGGCAAATTAATAAGATTGCGTTTATCTCACCAAGGAGACTGAAATCGAGAAAATATCAGGAGACAATTTTTAATCGGCATTAAATTGTTTATGCTATTTCGCTCACAAGCAAAGAAAAGTCAGTGGCGTACATGCCTTTTTTTAGAAACATATTCCAGTGATAACCCATATGCACGCCCCTGGTGAATATATAGATACTTTTTTAGCATTAAAATATTTCGCATTTATAGTCACTTTTACCCTCAAAATTTCATTCGAAACGCTTAAAGTACTTGGAAGAAAATTGTAATAAATCGAAAGATTATTAAGACTTTGACACCCTGTAGCTACGAAACGAAATAGAATCGGACTTATGTTGATATGAAAAATAAATCTTATTTTTAAGAGAAGAATCTCGATGTTGGCACATGTTTTTTGAAACACTTTGTATATGTAAAATATAAAAGACAATTCTCGTATTGTAACAATTTGTTACACTTGCGATTATTAACGCAAAAAAAAATAATCTCAATTATTCTAATTTAAAATTTGCAGAAGAATTTATCCTCGAAGATTCGAGATCCTACAACTTCTACCGCGACGACAATCACATAGTACCCGGCCTAGATGACGCGGCAGAATTCCAAGCCACCGTAAAAAGCATGAACATCATGGGCATGACCAACGAAGACTTCTGCGCCATCTTCCGAGTAGTATCCGCAGTCATGCTCTTCGGCAAGATGCAATTCAAACAAGACCGCAACTCCGACCAAGCCACACTACCCGACAACACGGTGGCTCAGAAAATAGCCCATTTACTCGGTCTATCCGTGACCGACATGACGCGTGCCTTTTTGAAACCTCGCATTAAGGTTGGTCGAGATTTCGTCACTAAGAGTCAAACGAAAGAACAGGTAGAGTTTGCGGTTGAAGCCGTTTCCAAGGCTTGTTACGAGCGAATGTTCAAATGGCTGGTTACAAGAATCAACAGGTCTCTGGGAAGGACCAAGAGACAAGGTACCAGTTTCATCGGCATTCTTGATATTGCCGGTTTTGAGATATTCGATCTCAACTCCTTTGAGCAGCTGTGCATCAACTACACGAACGAGAAACTTCAGCAGCTCTTCAATCACACTATGTTCATCCTGGAACAAGAGGAATACCAGAGAGAAGGAATTGAATGGAAATTTATTGATTTCGGTCTCGATTTACAGCCCACGATTGATTTAATCGACAAACCCATGGGCATTATGGCCCTACTCGACGAGGAGTGTCTCTTCCCGAAAGCTACAGATAAAACTTTCGTGGAAAAACTAGTCAGCGCCCACTCCGTTCATCCTAAGTTCAAAAAGAGCGACTTTAGAGGGGTGGCCGATTTCTCCATCATCCATTACGCCGGTAAAGTAGATTACTGCGCCAACCAATGGCTGATGAAGAACATGGATCCCCAGAACGAGAACGTCGTGTCTTTGCTTCAAGCGTCACAAGATCCGTTTATCGTTCACATCTGGAAAGACGCCGAAACTATTGGTAGAGCTAAGGGAATGTTCAGAACAGTTTCATATTTATATAAGGAACAATTAGGAAACTTGATGGTAACATTAAGAAACACCAACCCTAACTTTGTACGTTGTATTATTCCTAACCACGAAAAACGTGCTGGTAAAATCGATGCTCCGTTGGTACTGGATCAGTTGAGATGTAATGGTGTCTTGGAGGGTATTCGTATTTGCAGACAAGGTTTCCCCAACAGGATTCCCTTCCAAGAATTCAGACAACGCTACGAACTGCTCACTCCCAACGTTATCAACAAAGGTTTTATGGATGGTAAGAAGGCTTGTGAAACTATGATCAAGAGTTTGGAGTTAGATCAAAACTTGTACCGTATTGGACAGTCCAAGATATTCTTCAGAGCTGGTGTACTAGCTCATTTGGAAGAAGAAAGAGATTACAAAATCACCGACCTCATCGTCAACTTCCAAGCTTTCTGCAGAGGGTTCCTTTCTCGCCGAAATTACCAAAAGAGGGTCCAGCAACTCAACGCCATCAGAATTATTCAAAGGAATTGCTCAGCTTACTTGAAGCTCCGCAACTGGCAATGGTGGAGGCTTTATACTAAAGTCAAACCATTACTGGAGGTTACCAAGCAAGAAGAAAAACTAATGCAAAAAGAAGACGAGCTCAAACAAGTTAAAGACAAATTGGAACATCATATTAAGACCGCTCAAGAATACGAAACCAAATATCAAAAAGCTCAAGAGGAAAAGGCTGTTTTACAAGAGCAACTTCAAGCTGAAGTGGAACTATGTGCAGAGGCTGAAGAAATGAGAGCAAGACTGACTGCACGCAAACAAGAGTTGGAAGAAATTTTGCACGATTTAGAAGCTAGAATCGAGGAAGAGGAAGAACGAGGCAATAACTTGACCGTGGAAAAGAAGAAACTCCAAACAACTATATCCGATCTGGAAGAACAGTTAGAGGAGGAAGAAGCCGCCAGACAGAAACTGCAATTAGAAAAAGTTCAGTGCGATGCTAAAATCAAAAAACTCGAAGAAGACCTTGCGCTTTCAGATGACACTAATCAAAAACTTATTAAAGAGAAGAAAATCTTAGAAGAACGCAGTAACGACTTAAGCCAAGCTTTAGCAGAGGAAGAAGAAAAAGCCAAGCATTTATCTAAGTTAAAAACCAAACACGAAGCTACTATTGCTGAGTTAGAAGAACGTCTCCTGAAAGATCACCAACAAAGACAAGAAACCGACAGAAATAAGCGAAAGGTTGAGACAGAAGTAAACGACTTAAAAGAACAACTTCAAGAGAAACGCACCCAAATCGAAGAGCTCCAACTCCAGCTAGGTAAAAGAGAGGAAGAACTCGCTCAAGCCATGGTCAAAGTGGACGAAGAGAGCGCTCAGAAGGCTCAATCTCAAAAAGCATTGCGCGAACTCGAAAGTCAACTTACCGAACTCCAAGAAGATTTGGAAGCCGAAAAAGCCGCCAGAACTAAAGCGGAAAAGATGAAGCGAGACTTAAACGAAGAACTCGAGGCTTTGAAGAACGAACTTTTAGATTCATTAGATACCACCGCTGCTCAGCAAGAACTTAGATCGAAAAGGGAACAGGAATTGGCTACGTTGAAGAAAAGCTTAGAAGATGAGACGGCTATGCATGAAGCCGGTCAAGCCGATATGAGACACAAGCATTCCCAGGAGTTGGCAGCTCTCGGAGAACAAATGGAGAACTTTAAGAAACAGAAAGCCGCTTTGGAGAAGGCTAAACAAACTTTGGAGGCTGAAAATGCTGATTTGACCAGCGAGCTTAGAAATGTTGGCGCTAGTAGACAAGAAGGTATGTTACACTGGTCTGTGCGTCGAGCCGTGGTACCATTCCTGCTGATTCTTATGTAAAATTACTTCCAGAATCCAAATATAACTCCCGTTTTATTCTATCGCCCACCATTTTTGGGCGAGACCCTCTCTTTATTTTTTTATGTTTTTACGAATTTTCGGTAATAGTAATAATTTTATGCATATGAATTTAATTGGATGGATATATTAACAAATAGTTATATTATATGGGCCGAAAATAATTAACATAATAGTTAAATTTATACGCGTAAAATATAGTTTTTTACCTGTAACAAATAGTTTTATACGCGTAAAATAAAAAATTAATAAATACTTTGATTCACTTTTATAATATCTACATACAGGGTGTCCCACTTAAGATGGATACAAGCCAATATCTTGATTGTTTGTTGAGCGATCTTTTTCATTTTTGGCAGGAGGCTGTATGGCTATAAGACGTACATTTTGCTCTGGGTAAGAAATGCGATACCTCATAAACGTACGTTTTAATGGGGTTTGATATTTTTCGAGTCAAGAGTAAACTACCCTTAGGACAGTATTTATTTCAAATCTGATAAATTATATTGAATCCTCCTTACCCAAGATACTTAAGTTCTAATTTTGATAAATATTGATACAGGGTGTGTTATTAAAAGAAGACATTTTTATTTTTATTATTATTTTTTTAAGTACTTACGACGCCACTGGATAAACAACTGATTTATTATCAATAATCAATTATCAATTAATAATCAATTATCAATTAATAATCGATTTATGTTTTCAGATAGATTCCATAATAATTAAGATGGTTCCGATACAAAAAACCTAAATATTTTCAATTTATTTTGTTTACTTTAAAAAATTGTGTTTTTAAGTTTACTAATACAAACGAATAAAATGAGTTCCGATCCATAATGCTGCACCTGTAAGAAGATGGCTTAATGAAAATTTTCAAGATAAATGGATTGGTTGCAATAGTCCTTTTGTAGCATGCCCCCTAGGTCTCCAGACCTCACACCTCTGGATTTCTTTCTGTGGGGAACTCGAATAAGACAAGAATGTGAACAAATTTCTAGACAAGAATTACGAGAAGTTTGCTTAAGAAATAGGAAAATTTATGAAAAATGCATTAAAAATTATGGTGGTTTGGTCGAAGATGTTGACTTATAGTTCGTTATGGTTTTATAAATCTTTGTTTAGAGCTAATAGTTAATAGTGATTGTTTTAAATATCTAACTATTTGAATTTTTTAAAATATTCCTCAATAAAACGAATAAAAATCATATTTCAGATTCCATTAAAAACTGGGTTGTTAAATTATTTTGTAACTCATTTTATCCATTTGTATTAGGAACTTAAAAAACAATTTTTTAAAGTAAACAAAATAGATTGAAAATATTTAGTTTTTTTTGTATCGTATCTTAATTATTATGGAAGCTATCTGAAAACTTAAATCGATTATTAATTATTGATAATTGGATATAATTGGTTATTGATAATAAACCAGTTGTTTATCCAGTGGCGTCGTAAGTACTTAAAAAAATAATAGCAAAAATAAAAATGTCTTATTTTAATGATACACCCTGTATCAATATTTATAAAAATTAGAACTTAAGTATCTTAGGTAAGGAGGATTCAATATAATTTACCAGATTTGAAATAAATACTGTCCTAAGGGTAGTTTACTCTTGATCGCATTTCTTACCCTGGGCAAAATGTACGTCTTATAGCCATACAGCCTCCTGTCAAAAATGAAAAAGATCGCTCAACAAACAACCAAGATATTGGCTTGTATCCATCTTAAGTGGGACACCCTGTATATAAAATGCTAATGTTTATCTGTGTCGTCTCTACTGAAGTAACGACTTGCTCTAGAAAGTTGCTAAGATAGCTAATTGACTCTTCTAAAAACTGTCGTCGCCGGATTTTTTGTTTTTCATTTAATTAAAAAAAAGTTTTTTTGTTTGAAAAAATCAAAAAGTTATGGGGGTGAGCCACTTTAGACCGGTATATATGTATATAAAAGCAGTAAAAATAAGTAGGGGGCTCTCCCAAAAAGGGGGGAGGTAATGGGGAAAACGGAGATCATATTTGGACTCAGGAGGACATTTTAAATAAGGCGAGAATGGTGTTAGGGCAGATTTTCATGAAGGCCAATGTTACCAACTCATTATAGAAGTGATGTTATTTTAAATCAAAAACTTTTAGGCGAACGTAGACGCAAGCAAGCTGAAAGTCAGTTAGCAGAAATAACTGCAAAATTAACCGAAGTTGACAGGTCGCGCGTTGAGCTGCAAGAAAAAACCATCAAACTGCAACAAGAAGTCGAAAATGTTATGGCACAATTAGAACAAGCCGAACTAAAGTATGTTTATTTATTTTGCGCTATTAAATCGTTTATTACTACTAATCAACAACTTTTTTAGAGCATCAGCTGCAGTTAAAAGCCAGGCCACACTAGAATCGCAATTTACCGAAGCACAAACGGCTTTAGAGGAGGAAACCAGGCAGAAATTGGCGCTGAGTTCTAAATTAAGACAGTTGGAGTCAGACAAGGAAGCATTACAAGAACAAATAGAAGAGGAAGAGGAGGCTAAGAAGAATCTAGAGAAACAATTGGCTTCGTTGACAGTTCTCTTAGCTGAGGCCAAAAAGAAGGCTGAGGATGAAGCCGAACAGTCGGCTATCTTGGAGGAGAGCAAAAAGAAATTGGCCAAAGATTTAGAAGCTCTTCAAAGGTATGTCTCTAGTTTATTCTATGTAATTTCTTTATTATCAGTCCATTGGATTCTCTCTTGTATTATAATTTCTGATGTATTGTTATTTAGGCCCGATTGTTCATACCAGGCTCAGGTTGAGTTCAGATTTAAACAGGGTTTAAAATTTTTTGTAGGTTGTTTAATGACTTCTTGTCGTTGAACTTAGTTTAAAAATTCGGTATTTCACGATTGAAGTTGTGCTAGCCATTTTTGAGGCTTAAACTGAGTTTTAAATCTTCTTGGATTCTAAATGGAATTACTGAGTTCAGCTTTTTTCAGAGTTCACTTGAACTCGATTTTAAGCTATGTTTGGGCTTAGTATTTCCTTCTCTACATAATGGGTAATCGTTGTGTTATTGTGTATTCTAATAAACTAATACATTTGCCTATACCGGGTGCGTCTGAAAAGTGGCTCAGCCCTATAACTTTTTTATTTTTTCAGATAAAATTAAATGTAATATAATGTAAAAAAATATAAAGATTTGGTTTGTTAATACGACATAAATTTGCATTGATTGGCGTATTCAATTGTTTTTGGTCACTTCCTGTTTCACCGGAAATGACTACAACTTCTGTTTTTTAAATAGCACCCTCGGTATATTTCAATTTTATTCAGTAGAAAATGACACTCCAAATAGAATGACATATGATATGTCAATTTTTAACATTTTCGCATATGGTTTATTTGAAATTGTAACATGTGGTTCCTAACGACAATTTGACTCGAAATACCAAGTGTGTGGTATCAAATTATTCGCAAAAAAATTAGCCACCTTCGTTTCATTTGAAAAAATTGAGATGTGGTTAAAATACGATTTGGGCATCTTTTAACCAAACAGGATAAGACACGAAGAACATTCAGATCTATTTTTCCAAGGTTCCTTGATTAAAAATTAGTGTTTTTGACACAGCTATGGAACTCTAGATTGACAAAATACGATTTTTTCAAGCGAAAATGTCAAAAGTTGACATATGATATGTCATTCTATTCAGTGTCATTTTTTAAGGAAGGTGCCGTTTAAAAGTCAAAGGTTTTTGGTTTCGGTTTCGTTCATTTAAAATATTCGCTCTCAAACACCTCTCAATGTGATAACAAATTAAAAAAATTTTCTAAATAATAATAGCTTAATAATATTTCTTTTACAGGCAAGTAGACGAATTGACAGCGGCCAACGACAAACTAGAACGAAGTAAAAAGAAAATAGCCGCCGAACTCGAGGACGCCAACATCGATCTGGAAACTCAAAGACAGAAAGTGAGCGAACTCGAAAAGAAACAGAAGAATTTCGATAAAATCCTAGCCGAAGAAAAAGCAGTCAGCGAACAGCTCGCCGTTGAAAAAGACGCTGTCGAGAAAGAAGCCAGGGACAAAGAAACTCTAGTTCTATCCCTCAAACGAGAACTAGACGATTCCAACGTGAAAATCGACGAATTGGAACGAGTAAGGAGACAGTTACAGGCCGAACTCGACGAACTGGTCAACAACCAAGGCACGGCCGATAAAAACGTGCACGAACTGGAAAAGGCCAAGAGAAACCTTGAGACCCAGCTGGCTGAGGTCAAAGCCCAGAACGAGGAACTTGAGGATGAGCTCCAGCTGACCGAGGACGCCAAGTTGCGTTTGGAGGTCAATATGCAAGCATTGAGGGCGCAGTTCGAACGGGATATTCAGGCCAAGGAGGAACAGGCTGAGGAGAAGCGAAGAGGTATTGTTAAGCAGCTTCGGGATTTGGAGGCGGAGTTGGACGAGGAGAGGAAGCAGAGAGCGGCTGCTGTGAATGCTAGGAAGAAGCTTGAAGGTTCGTATATATATAATAGCTCTAAAAGCCTAAAGGGCTCATGGCTTGATTGGTTATCTTTCTCCATTTGTTTCTGTCTTTCGCCTTTATTCTCCACCCATCCACACTTATCCTTCTCAAGTCCTCTTCTACATCCTTTTTCCATCTGATTCTCGGTCTACCCCTCCTTCTCTTTCCACCTATTTTACATTTCATTCATACTAGGAATTCTTGCTTCTTCCATTCTTTCAATGTGTCCCGGCCATCTCAGTCTTTGTGCTCTTGCTACTCCCGTTATACTCGGTGCCCGATATAGTTGCTTTAATTCTTCATTTGTTCTTGTCCATATGTTGTCTATCTTCTTTCCTCCAAAAATCTTCCTCAGTATTTTTCTTTCCCAAATCTCTAGAAACTGTTGAACTTTCCGTTGCATTGAACGTCCATGTTTGTTTTCTTTCTTAATAATTTTCTGTAATGCGCTGACACATCTATTTCCTGCCATTATTCTTGCTATAATTTCTTAAGTTACATTTAGATTCCTTAGAAATACGACTCCTAGATATGTGAATGTATCTACTTCCTCAAACTTGTATCGTTTACCTCTCTCAGAATTCAATTGTAGACATCTTCCCTTCTCAAAATCCCTATCTGGCCACTCCATAAATTTCGTTTTCTTCTCATTAAACACTGAGCCTACTTTTTGCGCTTGATTTTCTAGTCTTTTGGTCACCGATATCAGCTCTTTCCGATCTCTTGCTAAGATAACTAAATCATCGGCAAAGGCTAAGCATTGGTGTCTTTTTGTATACAGAAATTCCTCTCTGTTGATTCCCGCATCTTTTATAATTTTTTCTAATACTTCATTAAACAGTACTGGAGATAGTGGATCCCCGTCTTAACAGATTATTTTTTTTATTTTGACAATACCTGATCTGAAACAGAAAAATAAAAAATTGTTCTTTTAATTCAGGCGATATTAAAGAATTGGAAAGTCAGATCGAGCTTCAGTGCAAAGTAAAGGAAGATGCCTTGAAACAACTGAAGAAATCGCAACAGCAGTGCAAAGAAGCCATCAGAGACGCCGAAGAAGCTAGGGCGGCCAGGGACGAACTAGCCGCTAGCAGCAAAGAAGCGGAGAGGAAAGTCAAAGCGTTGGAAGCGGAAGTTTTGCAACTGACCGAAGATTTGTCCAGTTCGGAAAGAGCCAGGAGAGCGGCAGAAACTGAAAGGGATGAACTGTTGGAAGAAATTAATTCGAGTAACGGTAAAAGTAAGTACCCATCTAGCCAATATACAAACCTGGTCATTCTAAATCCGTGGTATCCGTCCGTCTATCTTCCTAAAATTCACAATAATATCACTATTTTTCAAGTCTTGGTAATATGTTTACCAGATTTATATTCTTTACTTAAATCCAAAATAATATACAGGGTGTCCCAGGCTGAGCGTGCATTAGAAGTTTCTAGAGAACCACAATATCTAGATGGGAGATTTTTTGCACATCATAGTTTCACATCGAGATCTATCGATTAAAAATACTTTCAATATGGCGGCACTTCCGGAAATACCGGAAGTTGACAGCAACTTTCTTATTTTAAATGGGTGCCCACATTTTTTATTACATACTTAAATTCTCTGTAAAATTTTATGAATTTTGATATTAAACACTTTATATCTAACATTGACCGTTTTTGAGAAAAAATGTAGTTAAAATTTTTGAACGAAAAAAACTGCCTGTCAAAAATACGTGTATAGCCTAAATGTCAAATGTAGTGATTACCACAGCCACTGTGCCATAAAGAGAAAACATGTGGTTATCTATTTCAAAAATTAAATTGTTCGAATGTCATATAATAATGGCCGCAGCTGTCATAGAATTGAGCGATTAAAAAATTATCACAGTTTACGCTGTCGCTCTCAGTGGCTTAAATTTGTGAACTAGGACTTATACCACTTGCCAAATATAGGACTTCTTGACTAACAATATTTTAACTGTAAGTGTGGGTTTACATGCATCCTTCTTGCGTTGTCCGTCGTTGATTTTATGCAATTTTATTAGTTTATTTAAAAAATTACAGCTCACATATAGGAGCGACGGAACGACAGACGACGCATAACGGATGCATATAGACACACCTTAACTCGTTTTCGTAAATTTCGGACTTTCACCACTTGGTAGCTAAGGGATCCTTTTAACAATCACATAAACAATGTCCATCATTGAGTAGACATTTGCAGATATAAGTTTAAATCATAGTGCGATTTTCTTGTCTTTAAATAACTTGGATTATGTAGAATAGTTCTCGACTTCTATTGAATTTTTAATAATTTGATAATGGTACTTTCAGGTACTCTTTTGATCGACGAGAAACGTCGATTAGAAGCCAGAATAGCCACGTTAGAAGAAGAAATCGAGGAAGAACAAAGCACAAACGAAATGTTACAAGACCGCGTCAGAAAGGTACTTACTCTTCTGTTTTCTATTATTATAAAAGAACTTTCACGTCAGTTATATTCTGGAGAATGTAGAGAGTTTTAAAACTAGCCAAATATCCATTTTAGCCGTAACAGAATAATAAAAATTGAGATCTTTGGGAGATCGTACCCAAGCAGCATTTTCACGACTTGCGACCACATGTTTACTAAATCCAACGTTGGATTAGTTACAAAAAATAGTTAGCTCCTTACCTTGGGTATTAAAATAAATGTAAACGTTGTTGTAACGTTGTGCCGACGTTGAACTAGTATTACAATAAAGTAAAAGCTTCTGCGACGTCGAATAAACGTTGTCTTGTAACCTTTTTTGCTTAAGTGATCTTTAGGTGATTCGGATAACGTAGTTACAATGTTGGGCAATAAAGAGTTTTCCGACGTCACTTTCAGGACCTATTCGAACGTTATGCAAACGTCGTCTGTTTTACTAATTCCAACGTTGTTTAGATTTCCTTATTCTTACGTTGGTAGGACGTCGAGCCACTACCTTTTTGCAACTGTATTGAACCATAACCTTAAATCTTAAATTTTCACTTCATTGTTCTGTTCAGTGAGACAGTTCAGTGCTGTTTTTGTTTTTATAAAAAAAACTTAATTAAAATGGGAGATAAGAAATGTACATATAAAACTAAATTTAAATATACATCGACATATTACCGATACTTTATCCACTCCCTCGTTTATTTAGAATATAGAGGGCTGCACAAGCTAGACTCTAGGATGACTAAATTAGGCAATCTTATACTAGTATACTACCTGTTAAGGCTGAACTGCGACTTTATTAGTCCAGTGTGCGACTACTCGAACTACTCCATCTTAATCTCCAAAACAACAAAGAGAAAACCGCCATGTTGTTGAATAAGAAAATGTTTCGTTCCTAAAATAGCAATTCCTGATTTTTGAATGCATTAACTTGAAATATTTGACCCTAAACAACACGCGGAAACAATTTTTTCGACTGCGAATAAATTATTCCCATTTTACTAAAAAAAAATTCAAGAAATTTTTTAAAACTTATTTAATTTTAAAGCCCATTAGTATTTTTCAAAGTAGAAACAATACATTTATCAATAAAGTTGTTTGCGTTAAACTTTTTTGCCTTGGGTAACGAGTTACAGAGTCGGTTAAAGTGTTTCAATAATTATAATCCTCAAACATCCTCCACACTTAAATACTTTTGTTTTGTTTTCCTTTACTGCCATCTGGCATATGTCTGTAACTAATTCATAAAAATAATATTTTTACTATAATTATCCCAATTTAGGATAAAACGCGACTTAGACGCCATATTATTTTAGTTTTATATTTCTGTGAATTAGGATTTTAAACAAAGTTGCAGTTTGTACTAAATTAGGCTGCTAGCCAACGTCGGTATCCAACGTCGTTTCGACCCAAAAATTATTCTCCAAACTAGTGCAGACTAGGATTGGCACGAGGTTGTGCCGACGTTGCGCCCCGATGTTTGGTAACGTGACACAACGTTGTCCCGACGTCCAAATGCTGCTTGGGTATGTACATCTAGTGTATGTTAAATATTCAGTATACTATAATCATCGGTAGGTGTCTACAGTTTCTTTATATTTGAATAGGCTCAACTTTCAATTGATCAACTTACCACCGACCTTTCGAGCGAAAGATCAGCCAGTCAGAAGATCGAATCGAATCGGATGCAATTAGAAAGGCAGAACAAGGAATTGAAAGCGAAATTAACCGAATTAGAGACCGCACAGAGAACGAAAACGAAAGCAACCATCGCTGCCTTGGAAAGCAAAATCAGCAATTTGGAAGAACAGCTTGACGTAAGACTACTAATAAACACTAATTTCTTTTAGTAACTTTTTTTCTGTGTTTCTTAGGTGGAAGCTAAGGAACGCCTTACCCAACAGAAAACGAATAGAAAGTTGGATAAGCGGATCAAGGAACTTGTTATGCAACTAGAAGACGAAAGACGTCACGCTGATCAATATAAAGAACAAGTAAGTATTTTTCTATCACAAGTTTAATCTCTCGAAAAATTCCTATATGGGTATTTCGCCACTGCAAGAAAATCTACAAAATAAAATAGGTAGTTTTTGTAAACACTGCTGCGTTAATCCAACGGAAACTAAATGTCAGCAGTTAGGTTTACAGATAAACAAATTTGCCCAACGAACAAGAAAACGCTTAACGTTTCGGAAAGTTTATCTCTTTCCATCGTTGGAAGCAAAAAAAAAATACAAGAAATAAAGAAAAAAAACTATTTAAAATATTCAACTATTCGAGAACACTTTATTTTTATTTTTTAAACAGATACGTCTACAAAAACCGTTGACGTTTTCTTAAAATTACATTATAACAAGTTAAACTTCAGAATTAACAATTACTTAATAAGGTAAAACCAAAAGGCCTCAAACTTTCTGTATGATTATTTTTAATTTTTACGGATGTTATGTTCTTTAAAATCAATGAAGCGATTGTCATACATTACTAACATCTACAGATGCGGTTATAGCTGCGGCCAGATGAACGACCAGTTTCAACAGAGTTGTCAGATCTAACGATTGTTTACGTTTTACCAATTAGAAAATATTGTTTCAGAAAGAATTAAGTTTCAGAAATGTTAAAATATCCGAGTTAACTAAAAAGCGAAGTTGCTATTCATGATCTTATTAAATGTTCTAATATTAAATAATTCATTTAACATATTCTTGGATGTTTCGTTAATACATACTTAACTGGTGTGGTATGGAGTAAGTAAAATCTCCAACCTCGACTACACGATAACGTCGTTATTTCCATGTTTTTCAAATCCGCGATGCCTGCTATTCCATCAGTCGTTTCATAACAGAATATTCTACATCCTACGTCTATGTAATTTAATATGTGTAGAGTGAGACATGTAAGTCGTGAGATTTTCAGCATTATATCAATAAAGGACAAAAACGGTATTGTTCCTAAAGGTGCGTCCAGTCTTGAGCATTTTAGCCCGAACGAACCGAGCGCGCACGAGCAAGCAGAACAAATAGGCCGAACAAAAAGCATTCTGTACGCGCGACCGACAAAAAGGGAGATATTTTGTTTCTTTTTTCTACTGATGGCTCTTATCGACTTTAGAAGTAAACATATTAGGGCCATCGTAAAAAAAGGTCGTCAGGCACTGGCTCTAAATATAAGCAGGTAGAAAGTTTAGCTTCCAGTTATTTCAATGTTTACAATATAAATTCCTCTTTTTTATTGTTACTGAGAATCTACAACAGTAAATACTTCTATTTTTATGAATGTTTAAGTTACTTTTACTCTTAATTTTTTTTTAAAATATAATGTATCTAGTAGAAATATAGTATAATGGACCCTGTTTGAAAAACTTTAAATTAAATATAATATTTAAAATACAGTTTTCCTCCTTGTACATGACTTCAATACAACTAAAAAAAATAATTTAATAAAAAAACAAGTGGTTGTAGAAAAACTTTAAATATGATTTTTTGAATTTTTACTAGAAAACTACTTTCCCTTTGATCCAGTCTGTATACTATTTCTTTGGATTTTCTGCACGTGTGCAAAATCTACACTAAAACACTATATCTTATAGAAAATAAAATATTGTGCGTTGAATACGTTGAATATTATGCGTGGGATTTCATCTGAAAAATTATTAATTTGGAAGAAAACCGGCAACAAGCGGCAGAAAATAATATTTGAGTGCAGTCTACTGGTCGCAACGACCAACGGACGGCCAGGACGTTAGTGTGCACTGGATCATTTGATTTAATGGTTTTAGAGGTAGCACCGGCCTGGCCGGTGTGACCTGGTCGTCAGTGTGTTCAAGCCCTAAGGGTCTAGATTCTAGATGTTTCACCAATGTATAATTTATCACATTCACATGGGGTATTTTGTATATTACATTTTTTGTTTCTTGTTCTGTATTCATTGGTTTAGTATGTGATAAAATGGATCTAAGTGTATTTTGTGTTTTGAAAGATGTTTTTTGAATGCTATTTTATCTCCCACACCTCCTCCTGTTGTTGATCTGTTGTCCAATAACTTTCTATATTTTACACGTGTGGCATTTTTCCAATCTTTAAATCTCTAAACAGAAAATTTTGGTTTTAATTAAACATTCATAATTTAAAACAGTACATAAAAAAAAGTGTGTGCTCTAAAAGAATACCTTTTGCCACATTTGTCTTGTTAACGAAGGGCCTTTTCCTACGCAGTTTATTTTCAGCACAAGCTCATACCATTTATTGTTTATATAATTGGGATCTATAGTAGGATTTATAGATCCACTGCGAAAAATGTAATCATTTTCCATTGCCTCGACATACCACTCATATTGTTCATTATTTGTGATATTTTGTGACCTTTTTCTTTTTTGTGTAAATCTGGTCAAATTTTAATTAATAAAAATATATATTTATAGAAATTCTAATTTACTTACTGCTCTTCTTCCATAGTTGATAATAAATTTGTAAACAGAATTCGTAGAGGTATAAATACTTTTAAAAAATTAGCACAGTTATCAATGTCAGAGACCTATCAATATTTTAATTGTTGCGGTATAAACATAAGGATGTAACCATGACACACAGGGCATCCGTACAGCGTAAGTTATAGAATACCATATTATCATAAAACTGTAATACCCGGTCTTACACCCTATGTCACGTTACACCACTGTAAGTTTACTGCGGTGTAACAAAATATTACAGAATGTCTATACCTATGTGGCGGATTCATCTCTCCAGAAAAATCCTTTATGGGTTTTTCGCCACTGCACTGCAAGAAAAATCTACAAAATAAAATAGTTATTTTTTGTAAACACTTCTGGCGTTAAACCTAAACGGTGGCTGCTTGTCAGAAGTTGTGTTTACAGTAATAAAAATTTGCCTAACAAAGAAAAAAATGCTTAACGTGCAGTGGTGAAAAACCCATAACGGATTTTTTTGGAGAAAATATTACAGAATCGCACCATTAATTTGTGGTTTGTTTTTTATCTGTTTTAGGTCGAAAAAGCAAACTCTAGGGTGAAAGCTCTCAAGAGACAGCTCGACGAAGCTGAAGAGGAAGTGACAAGAGAGAAGGCTCAAAAGCGTAAGGCGCAGAGAGAGTGCGAAGACATGATCGAATCGCAAGAGAGTATGACGAGGGAGCTCAATAACCTAAAGAGCAAAATAAGGTAGGGTTTACCATTCGATTTTTCATAATTTTTCGAGTTTGAAATAAATTTTTATACACTATTCAGGTTTTTATTAATAGTTAGAGATATAAGCAATAATGTATCTGTCCACGGAAATAAAATGACCAGGGCTAGTATATCGTATATCGTCATTGAAATGTGATAAACTGCTAACTCCATTATTCCTAATTTTGCATGAGAGCAAAAAAATGGTTCAAAAAATATGTACACATGTATGAAGTATATTCATGCGTTAATATGGCAAAGAGATAAGAATATTTGTTAGGGAACAATAAAAATCAATATTTCGTGTTGTTTTATTTTTTTCAGACAAAATAGGGAGATAGCACTGGGTTCGGAAAACTACATGTTACTTTGAAAAACTACATAAACTACATTACATGTAGTTAATTCTCTTTCTAATGGTTTAAAAAAACTTATTAACGTAAAAAATGGAGTTAGCAGGTTATCACGTTTCACTGACGATATGATCTAGGATATTAGATAATTATGACCTAACGTCGAACGAACCTTGTACAGATTATACAACTGGTTTGCTACATACAGAACGAAAGTGCTTAACGTAAAAAATCAAATTTCTTCAACCTGTTTGACAGATCCATTATTATCAATTATATAATTATTGGCTGCTGTTTTAGCACAAACAGCGATCAATCAAATTGTTTTAATTGTTATTTTAAAATGAACGATTTATCATTTGCAGCAGTTTCAGATGATAAACGAGCTAGAGAATAATCGATATCGGTAGGTGGTAAATCTGTGTGAATGCGAATAAGCCGCATTTAACGGCTTACGTAACTTGTGTAAAGCACACACTATACGCTTTTTTGTGTTAAACTGTGTTAATTTAAGCGAGACTCTTGTTGATATATGTACAGAGTGGGTCATATTTAAGGTGGCATTTCTAAATATTGCAACATTAACGTCATCATAGCAAATTATTTTATTAAAACAAAATATTTATTTGCCATCATCCTTTCTATCTTCATAATCATCCACTCTGTATAAACGATAGATATATTTATATGTTGACGGAATATTGTCAGATGGTAGACATAAAAAAATTGCTTTGCACTAAAAACAACATATTATATGAAACAGATCGTGATACTTTAGATTTATAGTAACATACTATCGAGAAAAAAAACTACGTCAGAGATGGCTGGAGAATGACAATCGATGATAATTTTGGCGCAGTCAAGCCCAAAATTATCAGTCATTCATTACTTGGTCTTAAGAAGGTTTTAATTTATTTTTATATTGAGTAAAAATGATTTTTAAATGTTGTAGTTTAAAAGTCGAGAATTTTTTTTTAATTAAACTTGTGTCTGGAAACGTTCTATCCTTTTTTAATCTTTCTATCCTTTAGTGTTAATTTTGACAAGTTTTATGTCAATTTTTAGTAAATGACGTCTAGAGATCGACTGCTCCAAAATTATTATCGATTGTCATTCCCCAACCGTTTTTGGTGCCGTTTTTTTTCGATATTACTGTACTATGATATGTAAAAGAGTCATATAAATCACATGTTTTGACACAATTTATAATCTACCATTTTTAGAATCGCCCACTCTGTACAGGGTGGCGCCTCTCATACGCCGGCACCGTGGAGACTTCAAGAAGGACGAAAGTTTGTATTGAAATGAAATTTTGTGAGCATATATATGTGGTTAATTCAGAGCCCTTTTTAAAAATATAGAGTTCTACAGGGTGTCGCCAAAAAAAGTTATTATATATTATAGGTATATCACAGCCACCCCCCTAGATTTTTTCAAACAATACAGATCTATTGACGCAAAATCATTAAAAATTAAAATATTTAGGAAAATCTTCGTCTGAGGGGTAGGCAACCTTAATAATATTTAGAAGATATATAAATTCCCCATTGAACATCGGAATAATATACTGGGTGTTCCATTTAAAATAAAGAAAAAGCTTTTTGCTTTATGAAAATTCCATTAATTTTAATTTTAAAAATTTAATTTTTTTAATTAATTAATTTTGTCTCGCCCTGTATAACTTTTCGGGTCAAATTTCAATAACAAAGTTGTGTTTTTTGTAATGAAACACCCTATATATTAATTGATTTTCGGACTCTGGAAGAAAAATAAAGGTGAGTTTTATAAGAGAAGTATGTGACTAAAATGTAAGGTTTTTGACATATTTAACATTTTCTAGAAATAAAGAACAATTTTCAAAAGCTACCTAAATTGGAATTTACCCGGTATAGCCTAATATGTAGTTAAATTAACTATTGTACTTTAAATCAAATTAAAACTTGATCCAAAAAGTTATACGGAGTGAGACAAAATTAATATTGAACATTGGTCACTCTTAAAAGCATGTTACTCTTTTATTTTAAATGGAACACCGTGTATATTATTCCGTTATTCAATGGAGAATTCATGTCTCTTCAAAATACTATTATGGTTGCCTACCCCTCAAACAAATATTTTCCTAGATATTTTCATTTACATGATTTGATCTGAGTAGATCTTTATTATTTGACAAAATCTAGGTGGCTGTGATATGTCTGACATTACTTCAACGTAGCTGTCTAATTAGTCCAACTTTAACAACTAGTTATCATTTTGTGTCAGTTAAAACAAAAAAAATTCTCACATATTTGCCGAAAATGCAAACTTATCCTACATCAGAGAGAATTGATATCATTCTATTAGTTAGTGAATGCAATGTGCATTCACCAATTAATAGAATTCTTAAATGCTCCAATTTTATCTTGTCCGGATTTTTTTTTATGGGGATATGTTAAAGACGGTGTTTACAAAACTCGACCAACTATTGTGGACAACATGAGAGAAATTATTGTAGCTGCTTTTCGAGGTACAACTCCACATAATGCCTTTTAAAATGAAACGATCCTTTTGAAAATACAATCATTTTATGCAGCATTTTGAGCATTTGATTTCATCTAGCTAATTTTTGTCATATAATTATAGGTTTATATCTAGTTTTAATTCTGTAATAATTAAAATATGTTTTAAACGTGTATCTTTTTATTACCGTTGAGTATTTGTTTTAAACGTGTATCTTTTTATTACCGTTGAGTATTTTACTCCACAATCTTTAATTTTTGTTAAATTAACAAAAGGTATATCTCAACCTTAATAATATTTTGATAAGATATTTATAATTTAAGATATATAAATTCCCAATTGAAAATCGGAATAATATACTGGATGTTCCATTTAAAATAAAGGAGTAACTTGCTTTTAAAAGTGACTAATGTTCTATATTAATTTTGTCTCACCCTGTATAAGTTTTCAGTTTGGTTTAAGATAGCTTTTTTTGGGAACACCTTGTATAATTCTATATATTTTCATAAAATGCTTTCAGTTAACCTACATATTATGCTGCCAAAATTTCATTACGATATAAACTACCGTTCTCCTTGGAGCTTCCGCGGGGTATGAAAGGCACCACCCTGTATCGACGAGGATATTATGTTTATATCATTGCAAAACACTTATTAAGATTGGCAGACTTAAAAAAATGCTTTGCACTAAAAACCTCATAGAAATTTTAGATCGTAATTCTGTAGATTTATAGTTTTAATGGTAAAAGTCACGTGTTAATTTTATATGCCCATATATCATCAATGGGGTCAATACATAATGAAATTAACTACATAATTCCATATGTTTAAATGCTCGTTATTATATAGAAATGTTTATTTTCTAATGTTGTTTTTTACACTTGTTAAAGTATGAATCAAATAATTGTACCCGCATTTACTACGAACGAATCCCTTCAAACTAGCATACCCGAAATGTTACGCAAAGTTAGAGGCGCTTCGATCGAAATTCAGTAAGTTACAGAATGCCCCTGTAAGCTGTCCTTTTTGAAGTTTTTACTTTTTACTTTTTTTGTGCTGAGCGTCATGGAAAACAATATAAAAAATAATTCCCCTTTTTTACCCCCCACCAAATTATACTAGTAACTGTGATTTAAGTGTGGCAAGATTGTGTTATTAACAAATCGCAAATATACTAAAACCCATGCGAAAGTGTGACATGCATGAGCATAAATGAAGAAGTTAAAAAAAGAGAAATATGTATGTAATAGTTTCACAGTTTTCTGTTTTGCACAAGGTTAGAGAAATCCTAGAATAAAAAGATTACAATAGAACCTTCTTGAATGAAATGAATATATTTTTAGTTTTTTGGTTTTAAATTAATAATTTTCAGAACTGTAACTACTGTTTTTAGAACTGTCTAACTGTTTCTTTTGTAGTCTCCTTATTCAATCTCAAATTGAATTAGCTCATGTTGGACTACTCAATGTCAGAGCTTGTTTTATTTTACCAGATGGTGGTATCAGTAACTAGATAAAAAATGAACATAAAATAGCTGCTCTCCATTCGGTTACTTTTTTCTGTATACAGAGTTTTTTGACACAAGAACGGTTTAAGATAATAATATTTTAAATAAATTTAATATATTTGTTAAAAAATAAGCAACCTTTACAAAATTTTATATATTTCGGTCTAATCTTGGGGTTTCTTATTAGCTAACCCTTGGGTAGATTATTGCTAATACATTAGCCTAATAAGCTAATATTATGTTATTACGCTTATCTAAGATTAGCTCAAATAGTACAAACAGGGTTGGCTAATTAATAAACTTCTCAATTTACCAAACAATGGTAGTCCGTTAGCTAACCATTAGCTTAATTGTTTAACCTTAGGCTGATGTGTAGAAAAGCTTTAAGTTAACTAAATATGAAGTGAAGTAATGCAGTCGATGTTGAAGCCTTTGGTGTTTACAACATCAAAATTAAATACTGGTATACCACGATTCACCAAACACTGAAAAAAACCTGAACGCATAATCACTTTAGCATTGGCAGATGCTTAAAACTAAACTGTTTATAGTTTTATTCATCTGCTAGTGATGCTAATGCGGTTAGCGAAACTCCCTTCCAGAGATTAAAGTGTTTGGTGTATTGTGAACTTATTGGTTAACAATTGGTTAAGTTGTGAACTTAACCAATTGTTTGTTAGCTAATATAATAATTAGCTAAATAAGTAGTAGTCATTGCGGCACTTTGGACAGACAGTAGACTTACCGATTTTGCTGTCTGCTTACGGTTTTTGTTGTCTGTTTTGCTATTTTTACTCTCTACTTCACACTTCTTGATGTCTATTTTATTGCTTCTTTTGCCGTTTTTGCTATTTGTTTTAATGTTTTGCCTCTCTATTTGTAGAGGTATAAAAGCTGACAGCATAAAAACACTAAAAAAAAAGATAGGAAAAACAGTAAAACTAGTAAAACAGACATCAAAAAGTGTGAAGCAGGCAATAAAAATAGTAAAACAGACAAAAAAATCTGTAAAGCAGACAGCAAACTCAGTAAAGGTATGCTGTTTGTCCAAATTGCCGCAATGACTACTTAATTATTAACTTTAATAAGCTAACATAAACATTAGACTGATTTTTACTCCAACTTAAAGCTAGCTAACCAAGCTGACCCAAATTACTCAGGATTTTCGAATAGAAAGCAGCTTATAAGAATGGTTAGTTAAATTTCATATAGCATTTTTAGCTTTAAAAAATGTTAGCTAACATAAATTAGCTAACCCAGCTAGGTTGACATTTTAGCTAAACATTAGCTAACCCAAATTACTCGGCATTTTCTAATGGAAAGCAGCTGATAAGAATGGTTAGTTAAATTTCATATAGCATTTTTTAGCTTTAAAAATGTTAGCTAACCAAGCTAGGTTAACACTTTAGCTAAACATTAGCTGACCCAAATTACTCGGGATTTTCGAATGAAAAGCAGCTGATAAGAATAGTTAGTTAAATTTCATATAGCATTTCTTAGCTTAAAAAATGTTAGCTAACAGAAATTAGCTAACCAAGCTAGGTTAACAATTTAGCTAAACATTAGCTAACCCAAATTACTCGGGATTTTCGAATAGAAAGCAGCTGATAAGAATGGTTAGTTAAATTTGATATAGCATTTTTTATAGCGACATTTGTAAAGAAATAGCTGTATTTTACCCTTTTTATATTTTATCTCTCTAAAATGGCTTGGTTTGCGCAGAAGGGGCACCGGCATGGGCCTGTCCTCGGCCAGGCTGAGCTCGGCGAAGCGCGGCTCCATCCAGACGAGCGGCAACGGTTCCGGCGACGACTCGACCACGCAGGACGAAGCGATGGACGGCGACGAGGGACCCAACTAAAAAGTATTTCGCAACACCGCCGCTAAGTCGCGCTTATCGACGCTTTCCAAAAACCATAAAACTACTCTATTTTAGTTTATAAACGTTTTTATTTGTTAAAGCTGCATTGTGAGATCTAACCACTTTTTATTTCTTTTATTTTTTTTTGTCATGGAATAAATTCATTAGGGTGCCCGGTGGCGAAGAGGTACAGCTCTCGTCTACCAATACAAAGGTTGTGGGTTCGAATCCCACAGCCGGCACTTCATCAGCCGACTATTTTTAATAAAATAAAAATAGTTTGGGTACCTAGGTCGACTCAGCCTTAATGAACTTTAAATGAGTACTTGGGATTTACAATCCTGAGGTAATAATAGGCGGTTGAACCGTAGTTCTAGCCACATTACCTTCCTTGTATACCGAACGGCTCTAGCGCCTACTCCCAAGGCGTTAAACGCTATATACGGGAGCTATTATTATAATAAATTCATTAACGGTTGATTCATACTTCAGAGTGTTAGTCTTAACCTTACCCTTAATAATCCTAAGAAATTAACCTTGAAATTTTTAAAAATGCCCTTCATTTAGTCAGTCCTATTAGTCAAGGAAAATTTCGACAGAAGATATTCAAAAAATAGCAGAAAATTAAAATGAGAGATACAAATGCAGAATATACTTCCTGCTTGACTTAAGAATATTCTAGTATGCGCTTGCTCTCATATAAAACATGGGTTAATGTTAAGGTCGAAGCATTCTTTTTACTACTTTATTATCCAATTTTTTTAAAAAAATAACTATAGTATATCAAAATTATTAAGATATTTATTGAGTTTTGTACTAAGTAACCAACACTGCCTTCTTAAAACAGATTCAGCTTTTTTGTCTTCCAAAAAAAAATAGTGTTTTTATAATACGAAGTTGAGATCTCACAGTGTCGCTGTTTAAAAGGCATTTTTTATTAAAACTAACCCTAATATAATGTTGCTTTGTCTATGTATATATATTATTTAGTACTTAGTAAACTTTCTATATTTCTACAGGGAATTATTTATTCTGGTGACAAATGCTATTATTTGTAAAAAAATAATATATTTATTTTGAAAGATTTCTTTTTGGAGAATGATAAGAGTTAAGTTTAAAACTATACTACCCTTGCTGTAATACTGCACTTATTTTGATGTTAAATCGTACTCTACATAGATTTTTTTAATTAATTTATGAGTCTTTTTTATTTTTATAATTATTAGTCATTATATTTCCGTCTTTTTTTAAGGTGTCTAATTCTTTAAGACTGTAATTGATGTCTATTATTGTTCAACAATGATCAATTTAGGAAAAAAAACTAAATAAATTCGAATTAACGAAACTTTAGGTCTTTCTAGAAGGCATTTTGATATTTCTGTTCTTTTTTATCAAATAATTGAAATCATATTTCGATATCTGCTAACAATAATTAGATATAGTAATTATAAAGGAGGTAAAACATTTTGATACATTATATTTTGTAGAATATATTTTTTGTAAAAAAAGTACGTTAGGCTACCAGTCAGTAATCAGTTTTTGATATATGCATGTTTTTGTATATTGAAAGAAAAACTTACCGCATTTTGTATATAAATTTCTTACACGGGGTTCAGGGCTCATATAAATACAATACGATTAATAAATTTAATAAAATCTATACAGATTCTATTTGAAGTTTTATTTTACTAATTCGTATTCGTTGAAAGTGTGATAACTTTTAACGTACCTGTATAAAACTACCGAGCGAAAAAATACACTCTGTGATTTTTTACGTAAAAAATATCTCTTTGTAAAAATCGCTACAAGCAACCGTTCTTAAGATATTTAGAATGGAAATAGTCAATACATGTCATTATTGACGAAAAATAAACACGTTGTATAGATAGTAATTTCACTGAAATAATAAATTTGGGAAATTTTTATTTTTTTAAATTAATCATAAATTTTTCTGCAAAAAATGATGATAAAACAGTTTCTATTGAACATTTGGCATAAAAACATTTCAAATTTATGATTAGAGTCTAATAACTATTTAGTCAACATGTTTAATTTATGTCAATGATGACAGGTATTGATAATTTCTATTCCAAATATCTCGAAAACCATTACTCGTAGCGGTTTTTACCAAGAGACCTTTTTCACGTAAAAAACGTCGTAAATGTATATTTTTTTACTCAGTAGTTTTATACAGGTACAGACGAAAAGTTATTACTCTTCAAACCAGTTAAAAAACATGTAGGTGGCGCCCTCTACTAGTAAGAGCCATATTGACATCAAAATCAAATTTCTCATGTCAAAAAACTCCCAGACACCAATTTTCATCGAAATATTGACGTTACTTCAGAAATTATTTGGAAAAAATCGAAACAAAAATGAAACTTCTACACCCTGTATCTCCGAAACTAAGCATTTTAGGACATATATTTATACGAACTTTTTTACTTATTTTTATCTGCAGAATATGTTACCGAAGTTTGGTTTGGTTTGGTCATCCAAGAAACCTCTGTGCAAAATGTCATACTTTTAGAAGCGATTTTAACAAATTTTTGTACAAACTTTTACCCCTAACTTTACACTCTAACACCCTAACTAGGGATAAATTTCCAAATAGAATTGTTTCGCCTCTGTGTGCCTCTGTCGAGTCGCGTTCTTTTTGGCTGGGTTTACACGGCTTATGTTGTGCGTGGACCTGGATGTATTTATAAAATATATATTTTTTCAAATTCCTTCCTATTTTTTTATTCAATAAGATACACTTTATTAATATGTAATTATTAAAACAAGCAAAATTTAATAGTAAAAAGTTTATTCGAAAATATTCATGTACAATATAAAAATAACATCATACAATTGACGATGGATGAGTCACTAGTCAAAATATATAATGTTATACATATAACATTAAATATTTTGTATATAATGAATGATTTACAAGAAATTTGGAATTACATTTTGAATATGGATCAATTTGGACTTATGAATCTAGTACTCTGGATATCCAGGCATTGGAAATTGTTCGCTGAAGCATTGGACTTCCGCTCTCAGGGCTTCAATTTTCTCAGCGAACTTTTCGTGAGCGAATTTTTTGAAATCTACTAGTTTAGGTCCGGACGCATCACTAATTTCTTTCGCTAATAATATGGCTTTATGAATAAATTCCACTACTTGATCGATATCTTGCTCCTTAAAGCCCCTAGTGGTTAATGCAGGTGTACCTGAAATATATACACATCAGGAATATTTGAAATATTAAGTATTTTTTAAATAACAATCAAAACTAAAAATATCTTTTTTAAGAAAGTCCTGTATGGGTATTTCGCCACTTGAACTGTAAGCAAATCTACAAAATAAAGTAATGATTTTTTGTAAACATCGTTAATCCAACAGAGACCAACTTGTCAGCAGACGACGGGGAAGATATACTTCTGAACTGAAACGGTAAGCATTTTTGTTTATTAAGGTGCGTCCACATTGCTCGTTATCCTGCTCGCGCTCTTGCTTCTGATTGTGCTTGTGTTGCTTGCGCTTCCTGTCGTGTTTCTCAAGATCTTTCGGCTCGCAAGCAACGGCGTCCACATGGTAATGTAGTGCTTGCGTTCGTGCTGTTCGGACATGGATGATACCGAAGTATTTTTAATAGCGGCTGCTAGTGCGATTATTATTGCAAAACGAAGGAGACAAAGAGAAAAAAGGCGGTGTTGGATGTCTAACAATTTCAAAAGTAGATCCCAGCACAGTGAAAGTAAACATCTACGCGATTTACAGACATAATGTTTTTTAATATTTTTTTTATCGCAAGCCCGCTACTGATTAAGCTTTAAGCTTAATTAAAACAAAGACTTCTTAACTCAGTTGGCCCCTGTATAGAAAGAAAAAATGCAACTTTTAGGAAGTGTATTCCGGTTAAAGAAAAGAGTTAAATAAAGATTGGCCATAACATTAAGATTCCTTGCAACTAGAGACTTACATACCGTTTGTTAGTTTGGGTTATTTATTCAGTTTCCAAGCATTTCAAAAATAATACAAGGCGTATGCCAAAATATAAATGAAGTGCTCAAAGATGAGATTAAGATAAGTAAGCAATATAAATAAAGAGTTATATTTTATTAAAGGTATATTTAATATTATTAATCCAAGAACACACAAATATTTGTAATTCTGAACAAAATAAAATAAGAAAAATCATGGTAGTATCATCATACTGCAATAAATACCGAACCATATGAATGAAACCAAACTAAAAACTAAACAAACAACGCAAACAGCTCGAGCGCTTCGAATCGCCGTAAAGTATGCTCGCATGGCTTCGAAGCGTCTCTATGATCGCAACAGAGCCGAATAGTCGAAACAGGCATTTTATGAGATCGCAAGCACTTGGAGCACCGCGAGCGCCGCGAACATCTCGCTCCGACTGTTTGCCATGTTTCTCGTGTTCCACGTGTTCGTTCGGCCTGCTCGCGAGCTACGTGGACGCAGCTTTAGTAAATCAATGCTCTGACAAGTTGGTTTCCGTTGGATTAACGCAGCAGTGTTTACAATAAATAGCTATTTTATTTTGTAGATTTTCTTACAATGTAAGTGTGGCGGAGGCCAATCGTGCAACAACTAGAAACTTATCCAAAAAAAATCCTTATGGGTTTTTCGCCACTGCACTGCAAGAAAAATCTACAAAATAAAATAGTTATTTTTTAATAATAATAAATAAATATAATAAAAAATGAAAAATATAAATGAATATAATGTCATTTTAACAGAACGTCAACGATTTCTTGTAGACGTATCTGTTTTAAAAAGTAAAGTGTTCTCGAATAGTTCAATTTTAAATATTTTAAATAGTTTTTTTTCTTGATTCTTTATATTTTTTTGCTTCCGACGACGGAAAGAGAAAACTTTCCGAAACGTTAAGCATTTTTTTCTTTGTTAGGCAAATATTTATTACTGTAAACACAACTTCTGACAAGCAGCGTCCGTTTAGGTTTAACGCAGAAGTGTTTACAAAAAATAACTATTTTATTTTGTAGATTTTTCTTGCAGTGCAGTGGCGAAAAACCCATAAGGATTTTTTTTGGATAGATGAATCTGCCACATAGGTATATACATTTTTTAACTAGAAACTTACCTAATCTAATACCAGAAGGATTCATAGCACTCTTATCGCCAGGTACAGTGTTTTTATTGCAGGCAATTGATACTTCTTCTAAAATGTATTCGCCTTTGGCTCCTGTTATTCCAGCTGGCTTCAAATTAACCAGGAGCATGTGTACATCAGTACCACCTGATACAACTTTTAATCCCTGAAAAGGATATAAAGATAGAGACAGCTGAATTAAATGTGATGTAAATAGGCGAGAAAAAATTCAGAAGAAGATAACTTCCACCTAACAAAATGTGATTTTTTTTCTATATTTCTGTTGTTGGGTGTCCCAGAAATAAGTGCAAATATTTTATCTGGTAGTATAGTTCAACCCCAGAAACACGCCTATGAGTTTCTTTTTGCGAAAAAAAATTTTTGGAAATTCGAAATTTTTTTTAGTTTTTAGTTAAAAAAAATATTTTCTTGATAATATGGCAACATAGGTACCTATTAGATTAAATTAACAAGAAAGAAAATCCAGAAAAGATCCAGTGGTTCTCAAAATTTTAGCAAAAAATCTTTTTTTTTTGAAATTTTCAAAGTTAAATAACTCCGTTATTTTGGACTTTTTTAAAAAAGATAGAGAGAAAATATGTTTCTTTTATCGAGATCTACCACCCCTTAAAATACTTGCACTTTACATGCATCACCCTGTATATTATTTTTCTTGGATGCAGAGTTAAAAAAATGAACATTTTTTCTATTAAAAGTGTTCTTAAATTTTTAACGGTCTCGCAGATATTCGCGATATTATATCACATAGTACTTTCAAATGTAATTTTTTATATACATATGTTATTAGTATTTATATCTTAATATTTATATTATTAACTGTCTTTTATTTGGGCGTATACCTGTTGGACAATAAATGTATTATTTATTTATTTATTTATCAGGCAAAAATCATAAGAGCTTTGATAAAAACTGATATTTTAATAGTTATTTTAATATTAAATGTTTCTAAAAATATTTGTATATCTTCTATAATATACCGGGTGTTGCATCGTCGGACGGGACATAGGAAATCCTATGTAAATTTTAATGGGGTCAATTATTGGCTGCCCTAATTATTTTAGAGAATAAATCTATTTAGGTTTATTGAAGAGCACTAAAACCCACATTCAAAAGAATAACTTTAGATATTTTTGATTAGCTCGTTTACGAGTTATCGCCGATTTCTTTTTAGATATTTCTCCTTTCTTATGGCTCTGTATTTACTTATCCAATCAAGATAAAAGATAACTGTCAAATGAAGTTGCCATTTCAGAAATTTACCTATTTAGTGCTTTATTATTATTGAAAACTCATTCCTACATCGGAAATCTTAAAGATGTATTTATAAATACAAATTAATATGAATTAAAGTAAAATAAAGTAATCAATTACAAGGTTAATTATAGTATTATTACAATATTCAATAACTTATTAATTTAGGTACTATTAAATGGTTAGAACTTTAGGATTTAAGATGTTCAAATATTCCTCCATTGACTGCTAGACAATAACCCAGGCGATCATAAAATTCTCTTCTTACATTCGCTAGTTGGTAAACTGAAATTCTATTGCATTCGGCAGAAATGGCATTTTTTAACTCGTCTAGATTTGGGTATTTTTTATCCTTGTATATCCTGTTTTTTAAATGGCCCCAGAGAAAGAAATCATTTTGCGAAATATCAGGAGACCTTGCTGGCCAATTTACTGTATGATTTAGGCCAATAACGTTTCCGTTAAAACTATTGTCTAAATATTCCCGAACAGCCAGGGTACTATGTGCCGGGCAGCCATCCATTTGGTTCCAAACTTCCTGATTTTCCCTAGCGGCATCATGTAAAGCAGGTAAAATATGATTTTCGAGTAGTTCCAAATAATATTCAGCATTTAAATTTCGCGTAAGAAATAATGGCCCGATAATATTGTGTCCGAATATCCCTGCCCAAACATTTACTTTCTGTGGATATTGCGTCCTTGCTTCGACAAACCTGTGTTGGTTTTCTTTGTTCCAATATCGATAATTTTGAACATTGGGTTCATTATTTAAGGTAAACGTGCATTCGCCAGTGAAACATATGTTTTTTAAAAATCCATTCATATCATTTCATTTCCATCATATCAAAACAAAACGCCTGTCGCCGTATTTCGTCCCCATCTCGTAGCTCTTGGTGCTTTTCATATTTGAAGGAATAGTATTTATGTCGTTTCAAAATTCGAAACGCTGTAGTGTGATCTATTCCTATTTCATCCTCAAGTTTCCTTGTGCTGATCTTTCCATCGTTCTCTTCCACGCACAATAAAACTTCCAAGTCGGTATCATTTCTGGCATCTTCTCTTTGTTCCTGCCTTGCTTCACATCTGCAGCTATTTATTAGGGTACCTTTGGTCTCAAATCTCTGGATATTCCTTGCGATTGTAGATTTTCCAGGTATCGATCTATTCGGATACAGAGCAGCAAACATGTCCGACGCCTTTTGATAACTATTCCCAATAAAGCACTAAATAGATAAATTTCTGAAATGACAACTTCATTTGACAGTTATCTTTTACCTTGACTGGTGCTCATAAGTAAATACAGGGCCATAAGGAGAAATATTTAAAAAGAAATTGGCGATAACTAGTAAACGAGCTAATCAAAAATGTGCTCTTCAATAAACCTAAATAGAATTATTCTCTAAAATAATTAGGGAAGGCAATAATTGACCCCATTAAAATTTACACGGGATTTCCTATGTCCCGCTCGTCGATGCAACACCCGGTATACAAAAAAGATTTCTGAATTTTTAGCATTAAATTGCCTGTTTGTGATAAGTAGCGTCACTATTTCACGCGTTGTTTTGATTTGCATGAAACGTACATTGAAAATTATCTAGCCACGAGCCAACAATCTCTTATCTATGATCAAAACATTGAGATTTTTTCAAAATTTTTATGTTTTTAATAGAAATATATTATCTTAATGAACCAATTATTCCATTCTTTTCGTCTATAACTAATATCGATCACACGGCTCGGACCCGTGTGATCGATATTAGTTATAGACCGACTCAACGTTATCCTTAATTATGGTAATTTTTAGTAGCTTCAAGTACATCGCTATTAATTAAATATTGGAATATTTAAATAAGTAACCACGTGTCTGTGCATTATAAACATTTGTTTTTAAATACTGACTGATTATTTGCTTAGGACGTCTACACAACTTTTAAGAGTAAAAGTAAATTAAGAGTAAAAGCCGGTGTTTTATTTGGAAAATACCAACTACATTCTGACATACAAAATAAAGTTTAGTTTTTAAAAAAGTTTTCCTAAAAAAACCTTCAATACGTTCTCTAATTAGGGTATTGAAAAGTAGTTCAATCGTTTTGTACCGTTTTAGTATTTCTATATAAAAATATAAGAATAGAGGCATAGCATGTGCAGCGAGAAATGAGACGATTTCGATAAAGGGCATCAATAAATTAACCAAATAAAAGGAAAAATAACTTCATTTCTGAATTAAAGTGGCAAACTGTCAAGGGTATTCTCAAAATTATGACATATTTTTAAATACGGTTAAGTCAAGACTAGACTATATTGTTATCTGCAAAACATTTTCCGATGCACCTCATCAATCATAACAACACTAAAGTCATAAACCTGACTAAATTAAATTTTGGCAAATATGTTTAAATTTGTAGTATAATTTAAGATACCGAGCAGCTCTTCATTTTAAAAGTAAAGTAAAGATTTCAGTTAACGTCTCCTTTTTGCTGCCAGGGCTAATCTGGACGAGGCCTACTTTGTTCACGCGGAATCCGAACCGCGGTCCTCGGCCATATCATGGTTAATGGCCTACCGACTTGGCAAGTGTCTAAATCGACTCTTACTCACGAGATAAGGATGCTTCACGCTATACCGTAACGGGTCCGAGCCGTGCGTCGGTGAAGACACGGCCAAACATTGTCAAGTGTTCTTTACACATATACATTCATGCCAGGCCGAGCACGATCCGAGCTTCGCCGGAACTCGTCCGTGCCCCGTCCCAGAAATGTCGGCGTACATTTTCTCTCGGATCCGCTTCGTTGCCGCCACGTTGCGGAAAGCATGTATGTACTTTTCCTGGTGCCCCGACTGCAATCTGCAGTCATGATATTAACAAAGTACACTTTTTATCATGTCTGTAGTAGGTAGTGAATCTTACAGCAGTATTTGATGACAGGAAATGCATAAAACTGGACAATGAAAGGATGTAATGAAGAAGGTAGGTCCTTCATCTCGCCCTTTGAACAGGTGTCGCTCTTTCTTCATCAACTGTAATTGGTAGCAATTCCACTTGCCAGAACTTTGGCATTGATCGTATTAAATCTTCGTGTGTCTATGGGGCTGTGTTTCATAATATATTTAGAACTAATACGAGCCCCGTTATCAACTCGGTGTTGCATAAACAGAAGGCTCGGACGTGGCTCGGTGTCTACTTCACAGGACGTACCCGGCTCGGACACGGTCCGGTGTACTGTGAATCATCCTATATCCGATCTCATCCGGCTTCGAACCGGCGTGAATGAGCAGTGTGTGTCAATAGATTTTACACTTTTGCCTTTTTTGGACAACAGCACGATACAGAGTTTCGAACCGGTCACCCGTCCATCTACTAGTATCGCCTAACGTCGCTTAACTTCGGTGTTCTAATGGGAACCGGTGCTTCGAAGTAGCTAGGCCGTTGCCTTCTTCATTTTACTTTATAGAGCAAATGATTGTACCTAACAGATATTTTATTTAGATTAAAGCTGCAAAAATACCGAATTTTATTATCGTTATGTTGGTCACATTGCGCCGTGTTCAGTAATGTTGTCCTTTATTATTTGACAATTATCCTAGTGTCAGTCATTATTTTGTATAATATCGTGTTGTTGAAACATTGTAATTCTTGTTTTTTTTGCCTATTTTCATAGTCTTTTTTTAAAAATTGCACTTTTAAGCACAAACAGTTCCTTTAAGAACTAAATTTTCGAGTTTTTGTATTGCATTTCTTGAAATTGTGTGTTGAAAATATGCCGAAGCATTTAAACAGTTGAAGCAAAGAGCTTGTAGCTTCCCTGTTTTTTAAAACTATTTTGTACGAGAACGTAACAATAAAGGTCCTGTATTACCCTTAATTGCAGTCAGAAAAGTAAGTTTGATTGATAAGCACATTATAGCACTTTCAAAGTTAGCTTTTATTAAATTATGTGATTGTTAGTTTGTGCATTAATGACACTCTTACTTGTTATTACCACTTATGGCGTTGTAAGGTCAATAAATAAATAACCCATAATAACGCTTATTATAATCTTTATAATGGACTAGTTTTTGCCAATATGTAATAAGTAAAATAAGCTGTAAAACAAATAAATCAATTAATCGCTAAATTATTAGTTATTATTAAATTAAATATAAAACGTAAAACTCTTTAAACTTTAAAAAATGATATAATAAATATGTTGTTTGTCAATTTTAAATTAAGATTCATCTCATAAATCCATCACAATCTGGCAGCGCTGTCGCCATCGCTTGTCACTCAAAATTGATCACGTGTATCGGAAATTGTTTTGCGATTACCATATCTTCGAAGTATTATGTTCAAAGAATGAATTTTAATGAGAATAAAAATTATCCCGTATGATCGAAAAAAAAAAACGGCGGCCAGTTGACTCGGAAATGAACATTGATAATTTCCCATATAATTTTACATATAAAATGACAGCGATCTTCATTTCATAGTCATCGTCATAATTTCATTAGACGCATATTCGAAATTAGTTCAAATGTACCGCTTTAACATTTCTATAAAAAATATAAGAGGGGAGTAGGTATAGTCTGTCCACTAAGAAATGAGACAATTTCGACACACGACATCGATAAATTAACAGAAAAATAACTTTATTTCTGAATTAAAGTGACAGACAACTATCACTGTATAAACTATTGGGTATTCCCAAAGCTATCACATACATATTTTTAAATATGATTAAGCTAGTGACTATATTTCAGAAGAATTATGTTGAAAGAAAGAATTTTAATGAAATCAAAAATTATATTTACTTTAATTATATTGCTTTTAAATTTATAATACTTATCTCCGGAAAGGAAGGTCGCCTAACGTTAGATAATAAAAATTAGTTTTTTTAAACGCCTCATTGGGGCATTAAACGGCCTACACAAATTTGATGTCAAAAGAAAAAGTCAGTGGCGCACATGTCTTTTTTTGAAAAATATTCCAATGATAACCCATATGTATGTCCCTTAACTTTTTTAACATAAAAATATGTAGTACTTTCGCTTGTCACTCAAAATTGATCACGTGCATCGGAAATTGTTTTGCGATTACCATATCTTCGAAGTATTATGTCCAAAGAATGAATTTTAATGAGAATAAAACTTATCCCGTATGATCGAAAAAAAACGGCGGCCAGTTGACTCGGAAATGAACATTGATAATTTCCCATATAATTTTACATATAAAATGACAGCGATCTCCATTTCATAGTCATCGTCATAATTTCATTAGACGCATATTCGAAATTAGTTCAAATGTACCGCTTTAACATTTCTATATAAAGATATAAGACGGGAGTAGGTATAATCTGTCCACTAAGAAATGAGACAATTTCGACACATGACATCGATACATTAACAGAAAAATAACTTTATTTCTGAATTAAAGTGACAGACAACTATCACTGTATCAACTATTGGGTATTCCCAAAGCTATCACATACATATTTTTAAATATGATTAAGCTAGTGACTATATTTCAGAAGAATTATGTTGAAAGAAAGAATTTTAATGAAATCAAAAATTATATTTACTTTAATTATATTGCTTTTAAATTTATAATACTTATCTCCGGAAAGGAAGGTCGCCTAACGTTAGATAATAAAAATTGGTTTTTTTTAAACGCCTCATTGGCATTAAACGGCCTACACAAATTTGATGTCAAAAGAAAAAGTCAGTGGCGCACATGTCTTTTTTTGAAAAATATTCCAATGATAACCCATATGTATGTCCCTTAACTTTTTTAACATAAAAATATGTAGTACTTATAGTAACTTTTACCCTCAAAATTTCTTTCGAATCACTAAAAGTACTTGGAAGAAAATAATTATAATAAATCGAAAGATTATTAAGACTTTAACACCCGGTAGCTACGAAACAAAGCAGAATCGGACCTATGTTAATATGAAAAATAAATCTTATTTTTACGTGAGGAATCTCCCCACGAGAGATGGCACATGTTTTTTGAAACACCCTGTATAATTACCTTTTTCTGTAAACCATCGCTCAGTCTCTTTGCATTGGCCACAATTTGTTGGGCATACTGTTTAAACTCGGGAGTATTAGCCTGTTTCAATGTTGTAGCAATTGCTGCTATAGCGTTTTCATGTGGACCACCTGTAAAATATCAACCAGTTAAAATTATTACATAAATATATGCATAAAAGTCTGTATGTGTTCGAAATTCAGTACAAAAAACGACAGAATTTCTCAATTTAAGCATATATAATCTGAGGTATCTTACATCCAGACTTATCGAACAAAAATTATTTAGATAAGTATAGTTCTTCTCATGTTACTTTTCCTCGTGTCGTGGTGAAAACTGACTCCCATAGAGTTTTTCACGTAGAAGGCAGCGGCGAAACTAGTTTTTGCTGGGAGCTGCCATTCTTGAAATATGACACAAACTTATGTTTTTTAAATGAAACACTCTGTATATTATTTTTTCTTCAGTTTTAATTTTTAGTTTTATTTGCCTTGTACTGTACCTTTTGAAAAATATAAAGGTGCGTCCACATTGCTCGTGATCCTGCTCGCGCTCCTGCTTCTGATTGTGCTTGCGTTGCTTGCGCTTCCTGTTTGTCGTGTTTCTCAAGATCTTTCGGCTCGCAAGCAACGGCGTCCATATTGTAATGTAGTGCTTGCGTTCGTGCTGTTCGGACATGGATGATACCGAAGTATTTTTAATAGCGGCTGCTAGTGCGATCATTATTGCAAAACGAAGAAGACAAAGAGAAAAAAGGCGGTGTTGGATGTCTAACAATTTCAAAAGTAGATCCCAGCAGAGTGAAAGTAAACATCAACGCGATTTACAAACAGACAGAATGTTTTTTAATATTTTTATCGCATGTCCGCTACTGATTTTGAAAGGCTTATTAACTTAGTTGACCCCCGTATAGAAAGGAAAAATACAACTTTTAGGATGTGTATTCCGGTTAAAGAGTTAAATAAAGATTGGCCATAACATTAAGATTCTTTGCAACTAGAGACTCGCATACCAGTTTGGGTTATTTATTCAAAGTTTCCAAGCAAAGCATTTCAAAAATAATACCAAGCGTATGCAAGCGTAATACCAAGCGTATGCATAAATAAAGTTCTCAAAGATCAGATTAAGATAAGCAAGCAATATATAGAGTTATGTTTTATTAAAGGTATATTTAATAAAATTAATCCAAGAACAAAACACAAATATTTATAATTTTGAACAAAATAAAATAAGAAAAATCATGGTAGTATCATCATACTGCAGTAAACACCGAATCCTATGAACGAAACCAAACTAAAAACTTAACAAACAACGCAAACAGCTCGAGCGCTTCGAACCACCGTAAAGTATGCTCGCATGGCTCCGAAGCGTCTCTTTGATGTACCGCGACAGAGCCGAATAGTCGAAACAAGCATTTTATGAGATCGCAAGCACGTGGAGCACCGCGAGCGTCGCGAACATCTCGCTCCGACTGTTCGTTCGGCCTGCTCGCGGGCAATGTGGACACAGCTTAATATACTCGAAACTTACACTATCGGACAAAAGTAGAGCAACAAAGTTCATTTTTATTCATGTTTGAATAAAAAAAAATATTAGGTTGTGATTTTCGGCTATGTTTACTAACATACTATCCTTACACTAAAAGTAATATTTTACAAAATTTTGGTGTACTTTTAATCAGTTTAAAAATTGTAAATAATAATGATTATAAAAATCGATGAGAACGGGGGCGACAAAAGTAGAGCAACAAATTGTATTCAACAAATTTTATTGTGTCTTATTATTATTATTTATTTCAGCAAAAATATTTAACACATTGAAGAACAATAATAATTGAAAGTAATACATTAGTAATTGATAGAATATCTATTATTATTAATAACTCGCTGACAACGGCGCGGCATTGAAGCAATCAACTTCTGAATGACATTTTCGGGAAGATTTGTCCAAACTTCATTAATTTTATTTGTCAAGGATTGTTTATTTGGAAAAATTTGGGTACGAATACGACGTTCTACTTCTTCCCAGAGATTTTCAATGGGGTTAAGGTCTGGGAATTTTGCTGGCCATTGCAAAACTCGAACGCCATTTTCCCTAAACCACTGTTGAACAACTTGTGAAGAGAGTTTTGGATCGTTGTCCTGTTGGAAAATAAAAAGCAGTCCCATTCTGCATAAGGAAGCATAACATTCTGCATGATATCCCTATAACCAAATCGGTCCAACATCGTGTCATTAATAAAGTGTATAGGGTCTATCCCATTCCATGAGAAACAACCCCATAAAAATACACTGCCTTTACCGTGTTTAATTGTAGGTGTTACGTATTTAGTATTAAACCTTGTATTGATTGGTCGCATCACACGTCTCATTCCATCAGAAGTGAATATTTTGTAGCGCGTTTCATCACTGAACAGAACTTTTTTCCAGTCATTGACGGTTCAGTTTCAATGCCGACGTGCGAATGCCAACCTTGCTGCTCTTCTTTCCGAAACTAACAGCTTTTTAGCGGGACGTCTACTAAATAGCTTTGCATCTACAAATCTTCTTTGTACTGTTCGTATAACAACCGTAATTTCTGGAATTTCGGCAATAATTCTAGGTGCGGACTTCCAAGGATCATTTTGAGCAATTCTTTTGATGCGTCTGTCGGTCATTACTGTTGTTTTCTTTGGCCTTCCCGATTTTGGCAACTTTTCTAAGTGCCCCCTGTCATTATACGATGAAATTATGTTAGATACACTGTAACGGGGTAACACAAACTGTCTTGAAATGTCGGCTTGTTTGTTACCTTTCATGAATGCATTCACAACTCTTTGCTTCAAGTCTTTTGAAATTGGAATTCCTCTTGGCATGACTAATCCAGCATAGAAATGTTTAAAAAAAAACATAAAATAAACCTCGCACAATTGTTTTGGCCTTTACTTTTGCTAAAACCCTTCTTTAGAATGAATTATTTGAATGTTGCTCTACTTTTGACGCGTTACTATTAAGCATTTAAAACTAAATGTCAAAATAAATTCATTTGTTTTGTTAGTAAAAATTCTTGCTGTCATGGATACTCATAGCCTACTTCGTAGTTTTTAAAATTATTGTATTTGTGTTGCTCTACTCAAGTGTTGCTCTACTTTTGTCCGATAGTGTATTTTCATAAACAAAGTAAAAATGCATTATTAAGTCTGCCCGACAAGAGAAGACGCGTGTGGACAAACTAAGTCCAAAAAAATGACAGAAAATACAATCTACTTTGGAATTCAAATGACAGACAACAACCGTCGCTGTCATTATCCTATGGTTGAACATACTGTACATGATTTTCAATATAGTGAAAGCATTTTAACTGTTTAAACATACCTTGTAGTCCTGGAAATACTGATTGGTTAATTTTGTCCTCTAAGTCATATTTACTCTTTTTGTCATTTACAGTTCTTTCGCCCTTCCTGAAAAATATCACTCCGGCCCTAGGCCCTCTCAAACTTTTATGCGTCGTTGTAGTAACAATATCACTGTATTCAAATGGACTGGGTGTGACACCTATAATAATATATAACAGTATAATTAGAATCAAATCAACCAGTAATTATCTTTGGAGAAATGCAAAAAGTTGTAATATACAGGGTGGTCCAAACTGTTGTAGCGTTTTATTTTTCTTTTTATAAAATTCCAAATTTTAATATTGCTGGCGCCATCTATTCGCTAGATGTCAAACTTCATTCAGTACAGGTAGCGGTTCCTTTCCATAAAAACAAATTTCATTCAGTGTAGACGATAGAGTTCACTTAATTGCCTTTGGTCATATGACCTGTCAATTGGAAGACTTCCGTTTTGCGAAAAGGAGGAAGGAGGTTTTTTCCGAGAGATTGAGATCAGAAAAAGACGCGTGGTTCAGCGTCCGACGAATCTCAGAGAAAAAGGGCTTTCTGAAACACTTTTCCTAACAGTAAAGGCACGGGTATCCAAAAGTGGAGATTTGAAATCCTGTAGAATATACTGTTCAGAGCCTAGTTCGTGTTTTTTGGCCTTTTCCTGGAATAAGATCACAGTAAGTGTATCTACCATTTTGTATCGCCATGTCTAACTAAATTTTATTTTAGTTATTCCCGTTTTTATTTATTTTGATAATGTTTGATTGTGCATTACTGGTTTGGATCAGCATATAGTTTGGCTATATTTTGGAAGGTGTACAGCTGATTTTCAGACCGTAAGTTATTTTTTGGTATTCGGTGACTGTTCTGAGAGTTTTTTATAGAGAACTGGCGTATAAGAAATTGACGTATAAGTAATTGGCATATGAGTAACCACTTTTGAGACAGTATTTATGACTCTACATTTATTCTACTGATATCGAAGACTCCTGCTACTATCGAAGAGTCTACATCCACTTCCGTTAGTCTGGAGACTGCCTGCCTATCTGTTCACTACGTCATAAATTAAAAAAAAAATACAGATAAGTTCTAAGTTCAACACACAAGGTATTCCCTAAATTTTTTTTACTTTGAGATAATATTTTGAATATCTCTGTAAATTGTTGTCATTTATTCCATATATTATAGTCAAAATTTACCTTTTAGTTAACATTATAAGTCATGCTTTGTCCTTAACGGTACGTTTTACTTCAGTATGATCTTTTATGTGAGAATCGCTAACACGGATTCATTTTTGAAGGTTATTGTACACGATTTGTTTCGAAACATCATCGTATTGGTACTTACATAAATTTCACCTGTTTATATATTACGTAGTATAGTATACTGAAGAGAACTTTAACTAAATTTGAGTTTACTTAAAGCAACTAACGATTTCATTGGGATAATTGAAACTGGGTTTAAACTGATTGATAATTGTGTTCGTTTTTAAATAAATGTTCAACGTAGGATAGTTATATCTGACTTTTATTCTTGATGAACATAATAGACCCTTATTGCTGTTGATTATTTTATTTTAGCTATTTCATGATCAAATTTTCTTACTGGTTTCTTACTTTACCTTTTCATACCCAAAGTAAGTGGCGCCCTTTTACTGTCTTTGACCATTACTATTTGAATACTTAACATCAATTTTAGAATCTTTGCAGCCTATACATTATTACTTTTATTTTATTATTTAACAACATTATTAAGTCACCACAGGTCACAAGCCTTACCTACGAACCCAGCTCTCCTCTAACCCTGAGCAACGGATACCTTTTTCTTTCTGTTTGAGTGATGACAGAAAAAGTCGTCACACTGTATTCCGGAAACTTCGGTAGCATATTCATATTCTGCAGGTAAAAATAAGTCAAAAAGTTCGTATGAATGTATGTATGTCCTAAAATGCTTAGTTTCGGAGACAGGGTGTAGAAGTTTCATTTTTATTATTGTATATTTATAGTATATTTTTTCACTCAATAGTTTTATACAGGTACGGACGAAAAATTATTACTCTTCAAAACAGTTAAAACACATGTATACTCTGTTTTTTTTTTCTCGGGTAAGATTTCGACAGACGATGACAGAAGAAAAGCAGATGACGTCCCATACCAATCTATTTATTTTACTAAAAAAAAGTTTCTAATAATTTTTAAGTTATCTATGGATGGGTTTAAATATAAATCCGTCATACGTCATGTCTTCTTGTTTTTAACCAGTTTTATTGGTTTATTTAAAAAATGACAGATCGTATTTCAATTTTATTGGTTTGACGGAACGATGAAAGACAAACGGACGCCGATGCGCATGAACTCGCCTTTAGATTTTTGTCATTTTTGACGCTTGTCAAAATCTTGCCAAATTATAGGTTATAGTTTTGTGTCAACTTTTGTTAAATACCCTGTGTTTTGGAAGATGATGCATTTTGATTCGTATTATTACGTGTGTTTTGTGTCTTTTGAAGTCAAGTGGAGGAAAAATCCAGTGAAAATTAACTGTAAACCCAGAGCACAGTTTATGGTTAATACACGCTGCCCAGGCAGAAAGTCTTATACACCAATGAAGTTGCCATCGATAAAGTTTGTATACCATTTCGTCGTAGATAAGTGCATCTCGTATATAAGGATCAAACTAAACACATACTAAAAACCGGAGTAGGTGGAAAATATCGACATCAGACGATAGGTAAATAATGGATTTTAGTACTGCAGAAAAATAATGTCAAAAGGTACTGGTTTAAAAAAATTAAGATTAAAGTTAATTAATCAACCTTTAAGGTATAAAATTTGGTAGGTGTTATTATTAATAAAATAGTTTGTTGTATTTACCCATGTGGTTTTATTTATACCTGTGGAATATTACAAATTTGTATTTGTACATAAGTTATATTGATAAATATAATCATAAATGCGGGTAGTTTCATAAAGCTTGAAGGTAAATAATAGTTCTTTTTTATATTTTTTTGGTATGTAGTGTCTTGTTCTTGTTTGTTTTGTATTAACACATACCGTTTTTATTAAATAAAATAACTCGATTACATTTTTTCAGTTTTATACAGTTTTTTTCACAGTATTTTGAAGTAATCACTTGTCATCTTGTCAATCAAATTTTAAATATATCGCTATGCGTCCCAGTTGTACCAACTTATTTCTTTGTAAAATAAAATAAACTACTTTGAAATTAAAATGACAGACACATCTATCACTGTCAAGCATCTTCTCGTTGGACAGACTATAGCCCTCTACAAGTAGGAGTCATATTGACATCACAATCAAATTTCTCATGTAAAAACCTCTCATGTTTCAACCAAATATTGACGTTACTTTATAAATTATTTGGAAAAAATGGAAAATTATATAATTAATAATATGAAAATAAAAAAATTATATAATAAATTATATGAAACTTGTACACCCTGTATCTCCGAAACTAAGCATTTTAAGACATACATTTATAAAAACTTTTTTACCTATTTTTATCTGCAGAATATGCTGACAAAGTTTCCGGAATACAGTACGGATCACCCTGTATAGACCAAGAAAATAGGCCTTCAAATACGAAGTTTTGGTAAAAACTAGAATATTTGATACAAGGTACTTTGAAAGATTTAAAAACGAATTGTGAAAGATTTTTTTAAATTCACCCTCGAAAAGAAGTGAAGTAAATAAATAAAATTATTTCTTCGAAATTTCAGAGAAACGGTAAGGACTAGAAAAAAAGTTCAAATAAAAGTTGTAGAGTCTCCAATTTTGCATAAAAATGGTCTCTACACTTTTTATGCTCAAATCAAAATTAACTGTGATAGGGTGGCTAGAAGCTAGGGGACAGCTTTTAATCAAATATTTCTCCTTACCGTTTCTCTGAAATTTGGAAAAAATACTTTATATAATTATATAATTTTCCAAACAAATTGAATAAAAATGTTAAATATATGAATTTTTCAGCATCTAATTTTTTTTAAATTTCTACCATCATCTCGGTTAATTTTAATCTGGGCAAAAAAAGTATAGAGATCATTTCTAGGTAAAATTTCAAGCTCCACCACTTTTATTTGAACTTTTTTTTCTAGTCTTAACGTTTCTCCGAAATTTCGAAAAAATAATTTTACTTATTTATTTTACCCCTCCTCGGGGGTGAGTTTTTCAAAAGATCTAAAAACGAATTATGAAAAAATTTTTTTTAACTTTTCAAGTTTTTACCAAAACTCGTATTTACAGGCCTAGAGGTGTGTAGTTCGTGAACGAACTAGTTCCAATGAACTATTTCGGCCCGGAATGAAAGGAACTAGTTCCCGGTTTCTCAAAGAACTAGTTCCTTAGGACCTATTTCGTGATCGAGACTGTCACCGATATACAGGTTGTTAATTTGTTTATTACTCGCGGCAAGAGCTTTATGATTGAAATATGGCAACCTCGGCCCGCTCGTCGATAGACGACGCGACGCTACGGGACGAGTTGGCCGAAAACCCTATAAGTGCATGCGTTCTAGTGATGTAAAAGTTCTAAGTAATCGTTACAAAGTAACAGTTACTTTATGAGGACTCGAAGTAACGCTTACCATTTGAATTAAGTACTCGTTACTCGTTACTAAGCTAATTCGTTACTTTTTGGCCGGCAGTAATCCTAATCCCTGGAAATGCACGAACCGAGGACTCGAAACTCGATACTGAAATATTCCTTACTTCGACGTAGGTCTAGTTATCAATATGTTTATGTTTAAAGTGTTGACTTGACGCCGGCCGGTGTTTTGGATGGCAAATGTGTGATATTTTTATTACAATTATTATGATTGGCTCATGCCGACCCGGCGGCGGTCTGTCCCTTTGCCGTTTGTTGTCGCTTTTTATTTTGGCAATTCCGCACGTTTTTTCAATTTTAGTTGAAATAAGTAATATAAGATATTATTTAGGGGTAGAGTGTGTTTTACTTTTTGATTTATAGTTGTTCGGTGGGCGAAGAATAGAATTGGTTATTTAGATTAACATGTCTTAGATATTAATTGAAAATGGATTCACGTTATTCACAAAAAATGTTAACATCTGAAAAAGCAGAGCAAATATTTTTCCTCTTCAAAAAAGAATAGATATTTCGCCACTTACACTGTAAGAAAATCTACAAAATAAAAATAGTAATTTTTAGTAAACACTGTTGCGTTAATCCAAAGGACTTTTTTGAAGAGATGAATCCGCCACAGAGGAATATACATTTTTTTACAGAAATATACATTTTGACATTTTATTTTAACAAAAATATATACATTTTTTTTATTTTTACTCTTTAATGTTTGCATATTTATTAATGTAATACAAAGAGAGAGAGAGAGAGAGAGAGAGAGAGAGAGAGAATAAAAAAATACTTTATATTTATTATACACATATTTTCTTTGTTTGATTTGTTTTCTTTCATTTTTAATTTTATTAATAGTACATAGTTTTATTTGACATATTATAAAAATATTATACATATTATTAAAAACATATTATTCAGTACTTGAATACCGAGTATTGAAATTATCCTATTAAGTTATCCTTACACTAGAAGAAAGTAAAAATCCCTTATAGGTTAAACCGAGCACGCAACGAAGATCGCCGCGCACAATAAGTAACGAAGTTCCACGTCAAGCCCAAGTCTTCCAACCTGTACACAAAACAACGATTATAAAGTAACGATACTAAGTACCAAAGTAACGAGTAACTAAAGTAACGGGTCCAAAGTAACGAGTCATATTTCCAAAAGTAACTAGTAGTTACAAGTCCATAAAAGTAACTAAAGTTTACATCACTAATGCGTTCTCAATAGGCAGTGTTGCCATTCTGTTCCTCTATAAGTAACAACGGTCAGCGCGATCGTAGCCCGATGCTAGGCAGGAGTGGGGAGTGCCAGCCGTATGTTATCGGATCCGGATTTAGAGGAACTAGAGGAACTAAATACAAGACTAGTTTACGTACGGATAGGACAGCGCGATCGTAGCCCGAGGGTAGGCGGAAGTGGAGAGTGCCAACCGTATGTTACATGTCCCGGACCGAAAGGACTGAGAGGAACTAATTAAAAAACTAGTTCACGGGAATCTATTCAGTCGGCAGATCCGAGATATAATACAAGGCGACGACGATGGATTCGGCCTTGTCTATTGCCACAGCCGGCGTAATTACCACAGTAAATTGTCGTGGATACCGTTTTTGATCTTTAGTTTGTTCTTTGAATAGTTTCTGGGAATTTTTCACTTTAGATCCCTAAAACTAAGAAATATCTTATAAAACAAAGTAGATATTCTGAATTTTTAGACAAAAACAAAAATGTTGAAGTGAGGAAAAATGCAATTTTTCATAAAATTTCGTATTTTTTGCTCCAATTAATTTGTGATATAGTTTTTTAAACCCTGATTTGAGCATCTTTTTTATTTTTTTATCTGCAATAAAACTTAGTACCTATATGTTTTTAACATACACAATTACACGTCTCGTTATATTTCGTACATTATAAAAATTATACAGATCATACTGTAAATAGTTCTGACAACGAAACCCATTAGCAAGTAACAGGGATGTCAATGTTAATCGGGAACTATTGTGAACTAAAAACCTAGTTCAAGGAATTATTCCTCTGGAGGAACTAAGGAACTAGTTTCTCCCAAGGAACTAGAATTCCCAGCTCTATAAAGGCCTATTTTCTTGGACTAATAATTTGATAATATTGATTTCTCTATATACCTGCAGCTACTAGTCCAGATATATGCGCCATGTCTGACATCAGATATGCCCCTAATTCATCGCAAATCGCTCTAAATCTTTTATAGTCCAAAGCTCGTGAGTAACAGCTTACTCCTGCAATGATCACTTTTGGTTTGAAGAGGCGCGCGTTTTTATGCAGTTCGTCATAATCTATTAATCCAGTTGATGGATTAACCTACAAACTCACTTACTTAAATATTGTATCAATTAAACATACACCGCATGATCGAAAAAAACGGCGTCGAAGACGGCTGGGAAATGATAGTCGATAATAATTTTGGCGTGGTCAATCTCTAGATATTATTTAAATTAACAACCCTAAAAATTAACATAAAAGTTGTCAAAAGTTGTTTTTAATAGTTTGTTATGTGTAAGCCAATATGTAATAAGTAAAATAAGCTATAAAACAAATAAATCAATTAATTACTAAAATATTAGTTATTAAATTAAAAATAAAACCTATAACTCTTTAAAAAATGATATAATAAATATATTGTTTGTCAATTTTAAATTAAGATTCATCTCATAAATCCATCACAATCTGGCAGCGCTGTCGCCATCGCTTGTCACTCAAAGTTGATCACGTGCATCGGAAATTGTTTTGCGATTACCATACGTCGATACTAGTTTTGTACCTTTTGTTAACATTTTAATATGCTTAAAGCATTTATCAAAAATATAAATATATCTTTAAACAGCTAAGTTAAGAAAAACAAGTGGCACGGCACTGTTAGAGATATGGTAACAATCTGGTCTCGGGTGTTATAGTGTTATTGGTCATTGTATTCTTTATGTCATTATACAGGGTGGCGCACCTCATTCGCCTCGGTTGATTATACGAAAACGGAAAGATGTAGAAACAACATTTTTTGTGGGTATATGTAGAGAGGCAATGTGCATAATTTAAAATTATTTTCAAATGTACAGGGTGTGTCAGAACTAAGACCCATATCAAAGTTATATTTTTTCTTAAGGAACACCCGGTATTTTATTTCATTTTTGGATTCTTGGACATAAAATAAAGCATTTATTATAAGGGTTAAATATGTTTAAATGCTTTGGTTTTTGAGATATTTATAGATATTTAAATATGCATCCTATAATAAAAAAAATTGTCAACATACTTTTCAGATTTAATTCTTGTGCTGACTTTGAAGCCAGAGAAATAAACTTTATTAAAAAAATTGATTTACTTAAATGTATACAAGGGTATCAAAAATTGCTGGTCTATTTTAAATATTTATTTTACCTAAAAACTTCGTTATTTCAAATACAACACTATGCATTTTTTTAAATAAATCGAAGCAGATTTAAATGCTCTTTCAAACTATATTAGGGTTTCCTATACCTATCTGGCTCAGATTTTGAATAAAATGCGATTTTTCAATAAAATGGCAATCAAGATGGCTGGTGTCGCCATGGCAATTTGCTAGTGACAGTTAGTAGCTATTTTCAAAATCGACAATAGTTTATGGACTTTATTTAAATTTATAACAGTTTACTGTTATTCAATTTACCTACAACAGTTTAAAGTAAGTATTTATAAATGTAATAAAGAAAAATAAAGAAGTAGGTCTTTTTGATGTATATTATGATGACTTGTAGATAAATTGGATTTGCTATAACAGAACCAATTAAGGCCAATTCATCTTCTTCACTTCCAACGATAGGTTTATGCCTAATAGATTTTTCATATACCATACTATCAGCTCTGCGAAATAAGAAAAGTAGATTTTCAAAGGAACAATTGTCAAAAAAATTCCTATTTGGATATCTTTGAGCATAAACCCTTCAGCAGCCAACAAGCAATTGTTCTCACAAAATAAAATCACTAGTAACAAATCCATTCCTTCCGCCAGCAGATACTGCTTCATTTTTCTTAATAAAATAAAAAATACTTACTTATTAACCTTATTGTAGGTAAATTAAATAAAAATAACCTGTTATAAATTTAAATAAAGTCCATAAACTAATGTCGACTTCGAAAATAGCTACTAAGTGTCACTAGAAAGTTGCTATGGTTACACCAGCCATCTTGATTACAATTTTATTGAAAAATCGCTTTTTATTCGAAATCTGAGCCAGATAGGTATAGGAAACCTTAATATAGTTTGAAAGAGCATTTAAATCTGCTTCGATTTATTTAAAAAAATACATAGTGTTGCATTTGAAATAACGAAGTTTTTATGTAAAATAAATATTTAAAATAGACCAGCAATTTTTGATACCCCTGTACACATTTAAGGAAGCAATCAATTTTTTTAATAAAATTTATTTCTGTGGCTTCAAAGTCAACACAAGAATTAATCCTAAAAAATAATGTACAGGGTGTTCACAAAGTTTTTTACTATAGCATGCATATTTAAATATCTTTAAATATCTCAAAAACCAAAGCATTTAAACATATTAAACCCTTATAATAAATGCCTTATTTTATGTCCAAGAATCCAAAAATAAAATAAAATACCGGGTGCGTGTGTTCCATAAGAAAAAATATAACTTTGGTATGGATCTTAGTTCTGACACACCCTGTACATTTGAAAATAATTTTATATTATGCACATTGCCTCTCTACATATACCCATAAAAAAATTTCTTTCTACATATTTCCGTTTTCTTTTCATCGTTCACAAATCTTTTATATAAGAGTACGGACCAAGTAAATGACGTCTAGGGCTTGACTTCGCCAAAATTATCATGGATTGTCATTCCCAGCCGTCCTTAACGCCGTTTTTTTTGTCTCGATGGTATGATATCATGACCTAATAGAGGTGTCCTCTTTATGTAGAATTTTTAAATTTTTACCTTGTATGGCATCGATTCAAAGAATATAGAAGTGGCAGATATCTTTTTTGTTTGTGTGAAGAAACCATGAGTTAAATGACCTCCATCTGGAAGATCTAAACCCATGATGCGGCCGTGTGGTTCCACAATACCTAAATACGTTTAAAACTAACTTAAAATATATACTAGGTACTAAAAATGTTTGTACATATATGTATCTCCAGGGTCCCGCAATAATGCGTCGGGCATTTGTAACTCCTAGAATAAAAAACTTGAGAATTTTGTATACTGTTGCCTTTTTGGCTTCCTTTCAGATCACATTACATAATCCTAAGATAGGAGTATTTTAATAGTTTCAGAGATATTAATAAATAAATAAAAAATATATATTTTTCAACCTTCATTAAAAAAATTGTTACAAATACAAGAACTGTCCTGAAATCAAAATTATATTAAGTATTTACTTTAGATGGTCTGTACTAACTTTGCTATAGGTATGGTAATCGTAAATCATACAGGATGTTCAAAATTCTACGCCAAACTTTCTAAAATAATCATGTAATCATGTAATGTTCCAATAGCAGGCGGTAAAACCGATGAGGCTATTGTCTGTTTTCAAAGAGTTTAAGAGTTATTACTTTTCACTCTTCACTTTTACGCACTATAGTGAATCATTCTTGTTGCATTTTCTTCAAGTTCTTTATCTAGTCGGTTTTTGAACGCGTTTATACTGGGGGCAGTCACTGTATTTTCTGTTAAAGCATTCCATGAATATGCAACACGATTTGTTAGAAAATTTTTCCTCTGTACTTTGGCTGTCTTTTCTTTGCTTGTTTTTCTTCAGTGTCCACGTAATTGGGGGTTATGGTTTTGGGAAAATATATTTTTAACATCACATGTATAATGTCCGCTTATTATTTTAAATGTTTCTATCAAATCCCCTCTGTGTCTTCTTTCTCTTAATGTTGTTATATTAAATTTAGCCAGTCTTTCTGTGTAGGTCATATTTTGTAGCTCCAACGGGATTTTAGTCACGCGCCTCTGTATCTTTTCCAATATCTCTATGTCCTTAATATAGTAGGGGTTCCACACTGTGTACGCGTATTCAAGCTTTGGTCTAATATAGCTTTTGTAAAGCTTTGCTATCATCTCTATAGAGTGGTCTTTAAAAGTACGCTGTATTAGATACACAAAGGAGTTACATTTCTTGGCAATTTTTACAATGTGGTTTTCCCATTTTAAATCTGATGTAATAGTCACTCCAAGGTCATTTTGTTCTGACACTGTAGACAATATTGTGTTGTTGAGTATATATTCTTTATTTGGGTTATTTGGTCCTATTTTAAGAACGGCACATTTGGATTCGTTCAGTTTCATTCCCCAAGTATTTGACCAGGTTTCAACCCTCTTTAAATCTTCCTGAAGCTTTGCTGCACTCAGATTGGGATTGGCATAGAGTTTTTTGTCATCAGCAAAGTTTTTTAAATTGGTTTCAATAAGATTGACAACATCAAAAAGGTAGACTATAAATAATAGTGGGCCCAATACGGAACCCTGAATAACCCCACTAGCAACTAGGTGTTTACTTGAGAAAACGCCGTTTACTCGTACTTGGTAGTACCGTTCATCTAATGAATCTTTGATTATTTGTAAAAGCTGTCCTCTTACTCCAAAATGTTCTAATTTTCCAAGCAGTAAATTATGTGGAACTTTGTCAAAGGCCTTCTCAATAGTCAAGGTAAATTATATCTGTTGGGTGGTTGTTATCGTGATTTTTAGTCCAGTCATTTAAACATTCGAGCAAATTAGTTGAAGTAGAGCGCCCTGGAAGAAATCCATGCTGAGACGGTGGTATTAAATTGTTTTCGAGGAAAAATGCTGTCAACTCTTTGACCATTATTTTCTCCATACATTTGAGAGGGTTACATGTTAGACTAATCGGTCGATAGTTTTCTGGTTTGTGTCTGTTGCCTTTCTTGAATAGTGGAGTTACTGTTGACATTTTCCACTGTTCTGGTATTCTTCCCAGGTCCATACATTCCTGCATGACCGCTGAAAGTCGGGAACCAATTGTGTCACTACATTTTTGTAACAAAATTGTTGGTATGTCATCTGGCCCTGGACTTGAATCGATTTTCATGTTTTTAAGTGCTTCTTTGACCTTGCTCTCTGTGAAATGTATTGTACTAATCGTGTTTTTCTTCGATTTTTCTTCGATTTTTTTAAATGACAATTTTTTAAATTAATTTTTACAGAGATGGAGAATTAAAAAATGAACATTTTTTATATTTAGAATATTTCAAAATTTTTAACGGTTTCGCAGATTTTCGCGGTTTTATATTTCATATGGCATTTTCCACAGTAAATTTTTATCAAAGCCACCCAATGATTGTTCTCTCGTATTTTATCGTTGAAAGAGTCATATGAAATAATACTGTATGTATCTACGAAACCATTAAAATTGTGAAATACATACTTTAAATACGAAAAAATGTTCATTTAATAACTCTCAATATCCAACAAAAAATAATATACAGGGTGTTCCATTCAAAAAAACAGACAAAAATTATTTTATTTTTTTGAAAGTTTGGCGTAGAATTTTTACCCATATCTTAGAATTAGGTAAAGTGATCTGAAAGGAAGCCAAAAATGCAATAATATACATAGATAGAGTTACCAGATGAAAACTTGTCCACCCCGGGTGAGCCTTATATAACATAAGGCTGATATAAGAGCAAAAATAATATATTGTTTTATTGGGAATAAAAACGATACTTTTTGTGACGAGGCTGTACGGGGTGGACCATTTTGGTTGTTTCTATAAGGTATCTAGGAAATCGTGAGAAATATTCAAATTTTAATACTGCAGTCTCGGGTTCTTTTTTTGAAAAAATTACAATGGCGCAAACGGATCGTGGCTATCTTGATCGGTTTCGAAGATACAGGGGGATTCTTAAATTTTGTACTTTTTGAAGTTGTTCGATAGTTTGTTTATTTCAACAACCACGGAAAAATGAATTATACATTCTAAAGGCACTTTTCTGTGTAGAATGCAGTGGCATAGTCAGACTTTCTTCGAAGAAAATATTTTTTGAAATATTAACTATACTTATGTTTTTTTTTTAAATAGAACCCCCTGTATATTTTGAAATTTTCTTATGCAGCATGGCATGGGCTTCTCGAACATATATAACGCTATATTTATTTTCACTATTAACCTCAACATTTCAAATTTTTCTTAAAATATCCACTTAGTAGATAGTAGGCCGCGCCGAGTAACAAAGTAAACGGTTGTCATGGTGATCGGGACATACCTTTGATGGATGCGTGATATTTCATTTCAACAGATTGAAGTGTGTGTATTTTAAATAATAAAAAAATGAGTAAATTTGAAAATTTATAGAAATATAATACATGTTAGAATGCTATATTGAGTCTAACAAACATAAGCAAATGGCAGCTGATTTATATTTTGAGCGGTATCCAGAGCGCGAGCAACCAAAGCCAGCCATTTTTAAAAGGTTAGAAGAAAGTTTAATCGATTTTGGATCTTTTCAAAAACCGCGTCTGAAAAATTATCAGAAAGAAGATGAATAAAATCAAATATTAATGTCGTCGGAGCCGTAACACTAAATCCAACATCAAATAGAGCTATCGAAATGCTGTTAGCGTGCGGAGACGGTAACAACTCTGTCTAGATAATAATGGGCAGCAGTTTGAACATTTAATGTAGTCTTTGTGTTTTTATTTCTTTTATATTAGCTGAGAAGCCCGGTTGAAGTAACCTCTTGAGTTTATATTAAAATATGTTCTTTTGTTTCTGTTACACTTATTTTTTATTTGCTTCGTATTGTTCGATTTTATTTAATTGCTAATTCACGTTTTCGGCTCCGAGGACATTAACATATTGATTTTCTTCATCTTCTTTCTGATAATTTTTCGGACGCGGTTTTTGAAAAGACCCGAAATTCATTAAACTATCTTCCAACCTTTTAAAAATGGCTGGTCGCGCTCTGGATACCGCTCGAAATATAAATCAGCTGCCATTTGCTTATGTTTGTTAGACTCAATATAACATTCTAACATATTATATTGCTCAAAATTTTCAAATTTACTCATTTTTTTATTATTTAAAATACACACACTTCAATCTGTTGAAATGAAATGGCACGCATCCATGGTACAAAGAATACAAGGTATGATATTGCGCAGGTTGGTCGCTACGTCACAGGTGATAACAGGCGCTATTGGTCAGCACGCTCCGCGCGCCGGTTCAAATCGTCAAGATATTGTTATAAACCTGTTTTTTTGTTTATATACCGTCATTGAATTATCGCTAAGCAAGTTACTGTGGAGCAGTGCGTAAGGAGTCGGGCTAGGAAGCGAGAGACCGGAGTTCGAATCTCGGCCGGGACATAACTTTTTATTTATTTTTTAAATACTGTTGTATTCTATAGTTTATTTTTGTAGTATAAAAAAAAAAGAACTATTTATTCTGTTATTTTTTAATCTCCGTTATTAATATAAATTGATTGTTAGTACAATACCTCATTTAATATAAAATAATATTCTACTTTTTGAAATGTATTGGGCCCTAATTGTACCTAAAAGTAATATATTTTTAGTGATATACCATATTGCAAACTATTTAATATTTCAGTCACTTAAAAAGTTAATTTGCATTGAATAATTGCCTACCATTAAAGGAAATTTGAGCTATATAATCCTTGATGGGCATATTCTGGGTATGCAAATACTTCCTTTAAATTTTGGGTGTCGTTCAACCGATTTATTCTCAAAACCAGAAACTTCTACATATAAAAAGAAGCAGAGGTCACTAATTATAATAAACTTCACCCTTGGTATTACTTCCACTAATTATAATAAACTTCACCCTTAGAATTACTTCTATCACAATTACAATACGTTCATCTGCATTGGCATTTTCTACTTTTCGATGGGAAACAATAAACTTCCCAATATTTTTTAAATGATGTAACAATTCCTCTTGTGGTTACTTTTCCATAGATATCCTCAACTCTGTCCTCATGTGAATTCAGAGGCAATGAAAATGAAAATTATTTACCATAAACATCGCAAACTAAAAACCTAATAAACAATTTTATACCGAATATAGAAATAAATTTAGTATTCTTACCTATCGTCCAAATCCATGTTAATAGATAATTATTATTTTTAAATATATTTTTGGAACTGCTGGTTTTAGTAATTATTAAATTAAACGAACTAAAAAAAAATAAACAATTCTTAACCATAACCCCAAAAAAATTCAGATCTCCTGTCAACTTTCTTTCTTTCTATTTTTTCATTATTTTCCTAGTGACGTCACAGGTGGTATGCGCGAACTGAACGAAATTGGAGCCGCTATCGATCATACCTTGTATTCTTTGTACCATGGCACGCATCCATCAAAGGTATGTCCCGATCACCATGACAACCGTTTACTTTGTTACTCGGCGCGGCCTACTATCTACTAAGTGGATATTTTAAGAAAAATTTGAAATGTTGAGGTTAATAGTGAAAATAAATATAGTGTTATATATGTTCGAGAAGCCCATGCCAAGCTGCATAAGAAAGTTTAAAAATATACAGGGGGTTCTATTTAAAAAAACATAAGTATAGTTAATATTTCAAAAAATATTTTTTTCGAAAAAAGTCTGACTACGCCACTGCATTCTACACAGAAAAGTGCCTTTAGAATGTATAATTCATTTTTCCGTGGTTGTTGAAATAAACAAACTATCGAACATCTTCAAAAAGTACAAAATTTAAGAATCCCCCTGTAGCTTCGAAACCGATCAAGATAGCCACGATCCGTTTGCGCCATTGTAATTTTTTCAAAAAAAGAACCCGAGACTGCAGTATCAAAATTTGAATATTTCTCACGGTTTCCTAGATACCCTATAGAAACAACCAAAATGGTCCATCCTGTACAATACGACATAGAAGCGAGGCACAAAAAATAATTTCTACTCCGAATAGAATATGCTATTTTGTTTTCAAATAATTTTTTAAACAATTTCAAAAGTTCGAAAGGTTCCAAATAATATAAAAAGATTTAAAAGTAATACCTTGTATATAAGTAAGCGATAAGTAATTATATATCGACAAACTATGGTTACGCTCGTTGTATTTGACACTTTATCTCAGTTTAATAATATGTTTTCCACATGTTTTCGTACTTTTGTGCTTAGGCGTAAAAGTGCTTTACTTTTATGGATAGCCGTTAAAATTACTTTTTTATGTTGCCAATCACGTCGCAAAAAGTAATAGATACTTTTGTGACGTTTGAAAAAAAATACAACTAAAACAATAAATTTACACTTTATTTACGGAAACGTATTACTTAAAAACGGATTTATCAACGTTTTTATAACTAAATTTATTAAAAGTAATATATTATTTTGCATTATTGCGACATTTCTAAAAAGGAAACATTAAAATCTGGAAGCTTATCAAAAATCCGCCCGGACCAAACCGGATGTAGCTTTGAATAAGAAGACTAAGGAAGGAGCATAATGCTATCCATGTATTCATGCATGGTGGGCGGAAAAAGCTCTCTAGGGTGGGGATAGTTGTATAAAGGTAGTAAATCTAGATGGAAATTGTGGCAGACCCCATCCCCAAATACCTTCGAGATCGTGCCTTGAAGTTCTACGAGAAAATCGGTACTATCCCCAATAGTACCCTAAAAATCTTCGATTACAATCCCGAGGACTATAGAAACTTCAAATACTCCCATCTTAAAACCATTCTTCTAGACAATTAATTTTGTCCCCCCCTTCTCATAATATAGTCCTCCCATTACCCCACACCCCCCCCCTTTTTTCTTCCCCACATATTAGCAGGAATAATAGCTGACCATTCTTCGGCGGCTGATTCCTCAGAGGTGGACTTTTTTTTAGTGGGTATCAATACGAGTCCCACACTGTCTAGGGGTTATTCCTATGACCATCTCTCTCGAGATGGTCATGGAAATGATCACTATTCGTCTATAAAAAAATTTTCAACCACCCCTCACCAAAAAAAAAAAAAAAAAAAAAATTGTGGCAGAACTTAAATTAACAGTGACACTATCGCGATTTATCGAAAAAGACTCTAAAATAGTTGGTTGTGTAGCGTGCGGTAGATCTCGGCAAAAATTGAGCGAAATAATGGAACAACTTTTCGCTCTAGTAAGTGACTATATAATATACATACGTGTAGTAAACCGATCATTTATGAAATTCACTTAAAACTACCAACATTTATTCACAACGTAAAATTAAATAACAAATTATTGAGTCTACCCCACGTCTACCCTACATCATAGTTTTACATTTTTTAAATAAAATTAGAACGGCATTGATAAACCGGAATTTAAGTCGGCCATATTTGAGGCCCATCGCGGTGTACCTAAGATTTTTGATATGCTCCTTCCTTAGTCTTCTTATTCAAAGGGATGTAGTGAAAATTAATCCGGAAGTCTGGTAACCCTATATATAAAGGGTATTCCATGTAAAGAAAATCATCCCGATTCACTCACATTTTTTTGAGCCACCTTATAGAAGTTAAAATATTTTCCTGAAACACATCCTCATACATACTTCAGGTTTACATGCAATCAAAACTCTAAAAAGTTTTTTATTCTAGGAGCTACACATGCCCAACGCCCTATTTCTGACCCCTGTATAAAGTATAAACAGGTATTGTATTTTAAAAAAGACTGGTTATATACCTGTATATACAGCAAAATTTGCCGGCGAGCCTGAATATGGTTGCACATTGACACCCCACTCATCCGGATTTAAGCAATATGCTTCTAGTGCTCTTTTCTGTGCCAATCGTTCTACTTGATCGACAAATTGAGTTCCACCGTAATACCTAGTGACATGACATTATAACATAAGCATTAAAATTAGTTTCCTTTAAGTTATAATATTTACATACCTTGCACCCGGAAGTCCCTCGGCATACTTGTTAGTTAAACAAGAACTGAGACATTGTAATACTGATAAAGATGTAAAATTCTCCGAAGCAATCAATTCCAATCCCCCTGTCTGTCTTTTCTTTTCACACTTCATGATTTCAAACAATTCTGGGTCCGATTCCCATATATTTTGGTTAAGAATTTTAGAACACATATTTGAGACTTGTACAATTAACCTTGGTTGACCCTAATTGAAATATCGGTAAATAAAAATATAAGTAAGAACTAAAATCTACAATATACAGATCCAATATCTTTACACTTTGGCTACAATTATTTATGCAAATACTGAAAGTAAATATGGAAAACATTGCAACAATAAAAAAAATTGAAACAGAAATGTTTCAGTAAACAACAAAAAAAATCCAAAAATATATACACATAAGCGTTCTGACCTTACTAATTTGTACATTGTACAAAAATTTCACTGGATTTCTGAACATTTTTGATTTGATACAAAAAAAATATAAATCTGATTAAATGAATTTCAAATTGACAAATAAATAATAATACCAGAACCAACAATACTAACCTAAAATAAATTTAAGGATAATCTCGTCTCTAGTTAACGCACTTTGAAAACCGAGTATAATCAATAGAATAAACTGAATGAATTTAAACTTATTGTTTAAATAAAATATATATGAAAACAACGGTAAGCTAATCTGATAACCTCATAGCAACGCATAAAAGGTCAGAAAATGTTATTATCCAATATATAGGCTGTTTAAATTGAGCAAGAGTAATATTTATGATGTCGAAATCGATTTGAAAGTGTTATTTGCTTGGCAAATACCACAAAACAAGTATTTTATAATGAATACAACAAAAATTGTTTATTTTTAAAGTGCACTTACCCCTTCCTTCAACAGGTGTGCGCAGGTGGCGGAAACGCGAGAAAACATTTCGATTTGAATTCAAATAAGCGGCAAATTCGAAATGGCGTGGAAAATACAGGCTATTTTCAACTAGTTTAAAATAAAAAAGTAGTACGCTTTTTGAGAAATTATTTAGCCTGAGCATAGTCTTATCGTTTTTGGATAACCTTTTGGCCGAGTTTGTAGTGTAAACACAAGTGGGGGGTCCTGATTACAGTTCTTTTGCAAACTTTAATTGCTTATTATTGTATATCAATAACGATACTGATTACGGCTTGTAGTTGTAAATGAAAATGCTGCTCTATAAAATGAGCAGCATAGGAATTACAAGCTGATATATGGGGTTTAAAAATTTCTTGTATTATTGATATTTTGAGAAAAATATGTTTCAACAAGTTTTACAAAGTTTTGCTGGTATTGGCTGGTTCTAAAATGGTTAATCTCGTTTATACTTGCCACATTTCCATACCGTTTTAGAGAAAATTAGAAAAAAACATGAAAATATAATTAAGTTTTTCCTTAAGTTCTAAAAATCAAAACGTACGTGTTTCTATGGTATACATTTCGATTTCATTCTTCATCTTAGCTAGATTATTATTAATTTTGTTTAACGTCATATTTTTTTACAATCTACGACATAATGAAAACGAAATTATATTACCATATATAGAAACACGTTTTGATTTTTAGAACTTATTACAGTTGAGGGTTGGAACCTTTGGTGTTACACAGCAAAATAAAAACACTAAATCACCACAATACACCAAAACACTTTTACTTTTACACTGGACGCGCGTTTCGCTTACTATATGTTAGCATCATCTGCTGATGATGGCAGATGATTATAAAATGAAGTTTTCAGTCAGTTTATAATCATCTGCTGATGATGCTAACATGGTTAGCGAGTAAAAAGTAAAAGTGTTTTGGTGATTGTGGTGATTTAGTGTTTTTATTTAGCTTTAGAACTTAATTAAAAAAAAACAACTGCTTGACTGCCCAACTTGCTCTTATTCATTCACACCGTGTATGTTTTAGTTACATCATATTAGATAAATATACGAATTGATGACGTTCATTACACTTGTTGGTATCGATATAGGACTTAAAATAGCGATTAATACAGACGTCAAAGAAAGATGTTGTTCCGTCACAATAAGAATGCTGTTGTAAGATCTTCCAAACAAAAATATTTTTGAGATATTTATAGGAAAAAAGTACTGTCGCTGGGTCTCTTAAACGGTATAGGTCAGCTTGCAGCAAATCTGTAACCTAAATGGCAATGCGTAACAATACAAAACAAAAGGCAAAAAATGAGCTTTTATGTTATATTTCTTCTATAGTGTTGCCCGATTTTAAAATAAATAAAACCGTCCAAGTGGGCGTTTCAAACAGCTCTAGTGCTTGGATTGAACCTTGGTAGTCCCATATCAAAGCATATGTTATCACATCGGAGATGAGAAACAGCTCAGCCAAAAAGTGTGCAACAAGAGGCACGCCACAAGGAGGAGTATTATCACCTCTGCTGTGGCTGATTGTAATGAACCCGATCCTGATGAAAACGAAATGAAGGGAATTTGGATAAAGGCATATGCAGACGACGTGGTAATATTCGTTGGCAAAAACTTGCAGACGATCAGTGACATCATGGAATCTGCTCTGAAGGAGCTAACGGAATGGGCAAAAAGGAATGGTTTGGGCATCAACCCAGACAAAACCGAACTCATTCTGTTTACAAGAAAATACAAGATATCCAAGTTCACCAAGTTCGCTACCAAAGCCGGAAGGGAAGACACTTGTACTTGCTAAGGAGACAAAATATTTAGGAATCATTCTGGACTCGAAGCTTTCCTGGAAAAGGAACACGGAGGAAAGGATGATAAAGGGAATAAATGCATTCTATGCATGTAAAAAAACTATTTGGAAAGAGATGGGGTCTGCAACCGTACATTATACACTGGATGTACACTGCTATAGTTAGACAATCATCACTTATGGAACACTAGTATGGTGGGAAGCGGTACTTAAAGAGACTAATAGAAAAAGCCTCACAAAAGTACAGCGATTAGCAGCCCTAGGTACAACTGGAGCAAGGAACAACACAGCGCAAGCTGCGCTAGAAGCTATTCTGGACTTGCAATCAATCGACTGGCTCGTGAAGGATCTGGCCGCTAAGGGTGCCCTAAGATTAAGGGAATCCAATCTGTGGAACCAGACCAACTACGGTCACTCGAGGATATTGCCAGTGATAGGAAAAATCATGGTGAACACGAGTCCACATCTGCTAGACCAGAAAACGGACTATATGCTTACCAAACATGATTTTGGAGAAAAGATAAGGATTCGCATCCCGACAAGAGAAGAATGGGAAAGCAACCGAGTAATGAACACTCAAGAGATGCTTCCGCAAATTCAGGGGGCACAGGTGTAGGCATCTTCTCAGAGAAACTAGACATCCGACGATCTTTGAGGCTATCGGATGGCTGTAATGTTCTACAAGCAGAGGTTTATGCCATAAAGGAAGCGGCGAAAGGATAAGAGAGAAAATTGCTGATAGACCAATAGGGGATATAGTGATATACTCAGACAGCTTGGCCGCTTTAAGAAGCATCGCGATGCAATCAGTGAGATCGAAAACTGTGATGGAATGCCGAGAAGCACTGTCCTGGCTGCGTCGGGGCGGGGCTACTCTGTGCCCGGTGCCAGGCCACAGCAATGTGGTGCGGGCAATCAGGAAGCAGACAGACTCGCCAAAGACGGGGCCAGGGGAGAGGCCGTAGCAGATAACCCACCACTTGTGACGATCAACACACTGAAGGGGGCTATAGGAACTACAATCAAAAGCAGCAAGAGATGTGGCAACACCGTGAGGACTGCGCTACAGCTCGAAGACTATGGCCACTGTTAGATAGATAGCAAAATGACAAAACAACTACTAGAGCACAAAAAGACCTAGTACGCATAATTGTAGGTGTCGTCACTGGAAACTGTCCCACGGGGGTAAACCTCGTAAGATGGAAAGTTTCCGACGACGACTACTGCAGAGAATGCGAAGAGGAAGAAGAAACCATAGAGCACCTGCTGGAAGCAGCAGAAGCCAACATCAGCGACATCGGGAAATTTGCAAAGAGCTGGAAGTGGTTTAACGCAAAGAAAGAATGAGAGGAAGGTTTGGTGAAACAATACAGGGGTATCGCAATCCAGGCGGTTTCTTAGCGATAAACTTACAATAAGTCGATCGTCTGGATTAGAAGTTCTCATACGAATATTCCTGGACGTCTATATTGACGTCCTCATGGACCTGGTCATAATTCATAAACTATTTAATATACTTTATGGTATTAAGGTATTTTTGGAACCAGAATTTTATAGCAAATTCACTAAACTCGACTCACCCTGTATATCTATAAAATATATTTTGAAATGTGAATTACCATTAAACATATATTTTGTAAAAGGTTTGGAGTGAAAATCTGAAATAGGAATTCTGATACAGAGCTTTTTCGGAAAACGGAGCCATCTTGTATGTATGCATTTGTATATGTGTGTGTTTATTTAAATACTAAAGTGAAAGCAACGAATTTAAATAGGTAAAACTTTGTAATATATCTTATTAACAATACAATGCAAAAGTTTTATAAAAATTCGTTCACAGTAAATGATTTCCGAGGTTTGTATCTCATAAGGGCTTAAATCACTCCACTATAAGAATACCACGGAAAAATTGTTCTGCACCTTATGAATTTTATTGGTAGCCTGTCGTGTGTCATAAAAAAGATCTTTTACTTATTTTTGTCATCAAAAATAATTAAAAAAGTTCGCATAAATGTATGTCCTAAAATGCTTGGTTTCGAAGATACAGGTACAATTCTAGTTTCATTTTATTTCGATTTTTCCAAATAATTTCTGAGGTAACGTCAATATTTAGATGAAAATTGGTGTCTGGAAGTTTTTGACATGAGAAATTTGATTTTGATGTCAATATGACTCCTATTTGTAGGCAGCGCCACCTACATGTGTTTTAACTGTTTTTAAGAGTAATAACTTTTCGTCCGTACCTGTATAAAACTACTAGGTGAAAAAATATACATTTCCGTGATTTTTTACGTAAAAAATATCTCTTGGTAAAAATGGCTACGAGCAACCGTTTTCGAGATATTTAGAATGGAAATAGCACAGACTAACCTTAAGTTAGTTTGTGGAAATAGTCAATATAGTCTGTGAAACGAATAACTTTGAATTTGACAGTTCCCGCGCGCTTTTCTAGTGTTAATTTTATTAGGTTAGCAACTTGCGGCCATGCTGACGCAATGCCGTCTCTAATAGAACAGCCCCGGAGTGAGATTTATGACGTCACGCTAGTTAAATACTACGGATTAATAAATATGTTGTAGAATACATGGAAAAAATTCCTCGTATTTTTGGTTCGTATTTTAAAACTGATATAGTTTACATGAAATATACATAATATACAGTTAATAACTTTTTTAATAATATTAATTCATTATTATTTATTGTTTTTGTTTATTTTTAATATTTTGTTTATTTTTTAAAATTATTATTCTTAACACTAACTATCTACATTGACTATGGCTGAAATCGTACTCCATCCTAACCTAAATCCCAAGAAAATCAAAAATTTTAGAATAATTTTACATATAAAATGACAGCGATCTTTATTTTATAGCCATCGCTGACGCCTTTTTTCTATGATATTGTATTATTTGCAAATATAATTTTTCGAACATTGATACTTGCAAAATATACATATAAATTTTGTGAATGCAAATAATAATACATCACTATTAGTAGATATTGAATGTTTTTTGTTAAATTAGATCGATTTTCAAACACCAAAATTTAAAATATATTTTACATTTTACCCATTATCTTACGTACCTATTCATTATTTGTATATTGTAAAACATTTGCTGCATTTGTATGGTTTATAATTTATTTGCCAAAGTATTTATTACTATAAAGAGGTATATA